GAGAAAAATATATTTTCAAAGAAGAGTGTTTCATTTAAACAAATGTTGTGAGCACTGTGGAGGTGTCTGTGATTGAGAGCAGGAGGTGTTGTCCCCACAGCTGTAGTCATCTGTGACGATTCATGTCCGTCTGTTACGATGTGACCCATGTCAGGATAAAGGCTAAGTATTCCTCAGTCACTGGATTTTTTATGATGTTGTCTTGAGATATATTGGAATGAATCCATCAGTTATTAAATACAGTTCAGTACAGAAGCTATTACATCCCTCACATTATGTATGTATGGGCAAAACTATTGCTTGACAATAAAATTAAGTGAAGGCTTAGTTGTGCAAGCAATATTATCATGTCTAAAATATAGGATCTGTGATGGCTGTTCCCATATTTTCCTTTTGTAATAGCAGAAGAGTAGCCTCTGTGTTATTAACAAACTAACAATCCTATGTTAAAAGATTAAGGTGCTAAAAACAAAAATAAAGAAAAATAACACTGGAAATATTTAATCTTTTTTTTTTTCTTTTTTTTTTTCTTCCCTGCAGTGTAGTGTGGCACTGAAATGTGGTTGTTTAATCAGTAATTGCAGAAAAATGATATTTTTTGCCCATTGCTAATTGAAATACACTGCAGGTTGGAATCCTTCTATACAGTGATGACTATAATGCTTGTAGCCAATATAGACATGCAGCCTTTGCAGACAGCATAACCATAATTCCAGTAATACAAAATATTCATCAGAACTGTGAATGCTTAGTGAAAGTGTTTCAATATGATCATAACTAGATCCTCACAGCTATGTATTTCAATTACTCCGCTGCTGTGATTGCACATCATAGTTCTGTCCTAACTGGGGTCTTTTAGACAGGCATGGTTTTTTTCCATGATTTTGACTCCATAATCTAGAGGACTTTGATATTAGAGTACTAAAGTCGTGAGACCAGTGCTAGGAGTTATGAAGAGGAATTTTTACACATACATAACATTTATTTCTAAGGCATTTTGCTGGACTATTTAGAAATAACCTGAGAACACCCTAATTTGTCATTAAAAAAGCACTCATTCACTCAACTAATTGTAAAACCCGATTTCTCATACCCCAGCCATACCTCATGTCATGATGGTTTATTAGAAGACATGAGCTGATTAAAAGTATTTGGCAATATCCATAAAACCACTCTGTCACATTTTTGTTTTACTCGCACCAGGGTAAATTCCTAAATTCCCCCTATATTCACTCCTGTGTGAGCTTCTGCTTGCTATTGATTAATCATCAGCAGTATTTCAGAGCCCATAAACTTAGTAGGAGGAAGTTTTTATTAGAATTAAGAACTGGTTTCTTGATGCCTTCGGGATTAAATAAAAACAACATGTATCTTTTTTTCCTCTCTAAACTGATGTTTCCTTCAAAACAAGGAAGCTGATGTGATTAAACTCTTGCAAGGTTAAAGTAACTTGTCACCAACCATGTGGGTCTGTTTACAGTATGTCCACAGCTGTTTTGTACTGGGAGGCCCAGAACTGAGCACTCCAGATGTGGCCTTGTAAACTATGATTAGAGGGGATAGATCTTCTCTCTTAATCTAGTGACAATACTAGTGCCAAGAATACTGTTAGCCTTCTTTATGGGGAGGGCTGACTCATGTTCAAGTTGGCAACTAGCAGGACTCCCAGGTCTCTTCCCGTAGAGCTCTTTTGCAGCTGGGTGGACCTCACGTGCGCTGATGCCCGAGATTGTTCCTTCCTCCCCCAGTGCAGAACTCTTCACTTCTTGTTGAACTCAATAAGGTTTCCTGTCAGCCAACTTGTCCAGGCTGTTGAGGTCCCTCTGGATGGCTGCGTGGCCCTCTGGTGAGTCAGCCACTCCTCCCAGTTCACATTATCTGCAAGTTGAATCAGGATGTACTCTCACTATTGTCTAGATCATTAATGAAGATTTTAAACAGGACTGGATACTCTGATCTAATCCTCTTAACCAAATGGAAGACTTTCACACAAAAAATCAATATGAAAGTCACTAGATTAAGCAATTATTTTCCTTAAACTTTTCTTCTTTTTGCATTCCTGCTAAGAAAACCTGACAACAGGTAAGCCATTTGTATTATAATTACCATCTTTTTCAGAGGCCAGTATTCCATCTTAAATGGAATACTGAACTCATGAGTTATATTTGGAGTTGCTGGTTCATACAAAGAATAGGGCCTAAATATGTTTAAGCAAAATCATGTAGCTTGAGCCATTTATTCTCTTCCTGTGCCTGTATGCGTTTCCCATGGCTTTGGCAGAAGTCTGGAAGTGCACAGTTACAGTGAATATTGAACAAAGGATTGAAGGAACTGGGTCTGGACTTTTTGTAAATATTAATGCATCTACTTGTCTCATGGGATTCTCCAAATTGTCTAGATGCCTGACTAAATCCACAGATCCCTTGCACGTATTCTTGGAAATTTAAGCACGTGTACAAATCTGGAATTCTAGTGTTATTCTCAGATTATGTTTCCCCTGAGTATCCTTCATGTACTTTGTTGAGCAAAATTCTTTTTTGGAGCAGCTTCTCCAGTTGTGGAGATTCAGACTAAGATAACTTCAACCAGATTTTTATGTTTTCTCTAATATTATGGAAAGCATGTTAAAATTCATGACTCTTTTGAGAAAAAAAAAAAATCAGGCTGCATTTTAAATGTAAAGTGTTGGTCAGTTGGTCATGGTATAATTTTTGTGAAACGGGTGTCAAAATGTTAAATACTTATATGTGGTTCTGAAAGTTACTGTATTCACAAGGAATGCATACAGGCTAAGGGCAGTTACTGTAACCATTGCAGACCTTAAAGGGTGGGGAAATCTTGCTGAAATAACAGTTACTTGCATTTATTGTTAATAGTAGCAATAAATCTTTTGTAGCAATCTTTTGTATTTGAAAATAGACATGCAATAATTTAAATGAGTACTAAGTATTGCAGAACAGGGTGAAGACTGGTTTGTAGGATTAATACTTATTTTTTTGGAAGATGTGAGAAATACAAATGCTATCATGCACAGTGGAGTGTATGTGATGTGATTTTTGCCTGCTAAGAGGCAGACTAAACATATCTGAAGGAATGTTATAGGCTGGTAACAATATGGGAGATGGGAGCATGAATTCAAAACATTAACAAAACACTGTGTTCTGCCAGCAGAGAGGCTACAGACTTCTATAAGCCAGTAATTCAAGGTGGTTTACAGCTGCCCTTCTTTTCAGAGTGTGATTTTCTCACTGCCAAACCACTGTGCTATTAGAAAGAACACCACCACCAGGTCAGCTGTTTTTTCTTTCACGTGGTTCCTACATGTGGCTTTACTGAGGACTACAAGCTGAGCATCAACCTACATGTTCACTCTTCACTTTTAAGAGGTTCACTGTTAACCCCACACTGTGGGGTTAAATATAGTGTTTCTTTGGCTCAGTACCCCTCTCAGTCATGCAGATTCAACCTGAGTAACAAATATAATAAAAAACAACTCACAATGACTGCATTGCAGAGCCACTTAATATTTTATCCAACTTATTTTTTGAGAACTCTGTAAGTAGCATTATCTTTTTTTCTTCTTTCTTCCTTTTTTTTTTTTTTTTAAAAAAAAAAAAATTATTATTAAAGGACATTACTATACTTGCTAGTAAATTACGGGGCAACTTTTTGAGCCAACCATTCATTGCCAGAATATAACATTTTTCAAGATTGAAGCTGTGCTTACTTCAGCTGAATTCAATGAGTACAGTCAGTATTGGAAACTGGCTTTTATTTTGATGATGAAAATTATAGCCTGTAATTAGGATAATGTATGTACTTGTGAAGATTGTATAAGTAGCCATTAAGATACTTCTGCATCTAACGAGTCTGTTACAAGCATGTTTTAGCAACATGTGCAAATTTGCCTGTATCGTGCATCTGCATACATAAATAACGCTAAATAATTTTGTTTGCAGTTATCTTAAAACCTTTGTCTCAGTGATTGATTGTATCTAAAACTTAAAAATTACTGGACCGTTCTTTTAGGCACTGCAGGTTATTTTCTGCCTGTCCAATCTCAGATCAGATATTTATGTCACACGCAAGTGTATAATCTTACAAAAATGGTAGAAAGAAGGAAATGCCTCCCAAAGGAAAAGCCTGAGTGCCATGGTGATTTCCCATGTTTAATTTGGCTGTCACCATCACTCTTTTTTCCCTTCTTCAGCTGCCGCAGCATCTCTGGCTGATTATATATCACTTCTTAAATCAACGCCTCAAATCCACTCTTTTAACTAAACTGAACATTTTGGATATGGTGGTGCATTTTTTTTCAAGGTTCTGTTCTGGATAATTCTGCAACAGTTACTTTACAACCCAGAGCTTCCATTTCTTCAAATGCATAATCGTTCGAGTATTGCAGTTCTGAATCACAGAATCACAGAGCTGTAGGGGTTGGAAGGCAGAGATCCTTGAGTCCAACCCCCCTGCAAAGCAGGCTCGCTACAGCAGGCTGCTCAGGTAGGCGTCCAGGAAAGTCTGTCCAAAGAAGAGAATTCAGAACCTCCCTGTACAACCTGTTCCACTGTTCTGACACCCTCACTGTGAAGAAGTTCCTTCGCATATTGGTGTGGAACTTCCTATGCTCAAGTTTATGGCCATTTCCCCTTGTCCTGTCCCCACAGACCACTGAAAAGAGGTTAGCCATGTCCCTTTGACTCCCACGCTTAAGATATTTATAAACATAATAAAATCCCCTCTGAGTCTTCTTTTCTCAAGGCTGAACAGCCTCAGTTCACCCAGCCTTTCCTGATAGGGGAGATGCTCCAGGCCCTTTATCATTTTCATGGCCCTCTGCTGGACTCTTTCCAGGAGATCCCTGTCTTTTTTTTGTACCAGGGAGCCCAGAACTGGATACAGTACTCCAGTTGAGGCCTGACCAGGGCAGAGTAGAGGGGGAAGATCACCTCCCTGGACCTGATGGCCATGCTCCTTTTAATGCACCTCAGGCCAACCTGTTGTCCATCAGGACCCTCAGGATCCTCTCTGCAAGCTCCTTTCCAGCAGGTCATGCCCCAGCCTGTACTGATACTTGTGGTTATTTCTTCCCAGATGCAAGACTCTACACTTGCTTTTGTTAAACCTCACCTGGTTTCTTTCTGCCTAGCTCCTCAGTCTGTTCATATCTTACTGAATGGCAGCACAGCCTTCTGCTGTGTCAGCCACTCCTCCCAGCTTTGTATCGTCAGCATACTTGCTGAGGGCGGCCACTATCCCCTCCTCAAGGTCGTTGAAGATATTGAACAAGATCAGACCCAGCACTGACCTCTGGGGAACACCAGTAGTCACAGGTCTTCAACCTATCTATATCTATCTACCTTAAAGAGAATACTAGATAATAAAATACCTTCTGCTTTGCAACTTACATGGTAGTAATTGTGATGTTACAGAATGTGAAATGTGATCCTGCTCTTTGTCATGGTTATAAAAATACATTTTCTTATTCTTTGCAGTAATAGCAGTGTTAAAAAATAGGTGATTAATAGCTTACGTGATTCGGAACTGTTCCATTTTGGTTCCTTTTTTTTTTGTTGTTTTTGTTTAAGGTCACTATTATAATTTTCACCTTTGGCATCTAGCAAAATCTTTCAGTGTAACTATTACACTGCATTTAGTTGTAAACAATAAACTTCAGGAAGGGAAGCTAGAGGAAATTAATTAAACTGTCATCACTTGCTTCTAAATGATAAGAAAACAGCTCACTTCTGCACCATAAAGAGAAATCTTAGTTTCCCCTAGTAAAAAAATAAATTACCTAAAATGATTACTACTTCTTACTACTCAGTTGTTTTTTTTTTTAATTGTAGCTTTATAATTGTTTGTCAACATTTTGTGACAGGATGAGTATGAGGAAGTGCTTCATTATATTATAGTGACTCCAAAGTTTGAACTGTGCATCCCAAAGCAGTCAGAACCTTCCTCAGAACTGAGAGGAAGGGGCAGATTTTCAAGTGTAACAGATGACACCGTTTACCATAAAACTCCAGGTAACATGTGCAAAGCTATGAGTTGATACTATAAAAGTAGTGTTACGACTTAAGTTTTCAAATAGTTTCTCTTTGAAAAGAACGTATAGCTGATATATAATGTATTTATATTTTGCACAAGAAACTTAGGGAGGTATTATATTCACTGAGGGGTTTTGTTTGACGTTGCTTTAAAGTGACAGTATTGATTTAGTGAAGTTCTCAGTGTTCAGTAGTGAAAAGGTTAAAATAAACATTTTTGTTTATTTTTGTTTTACACCATAGTTGTACCATAGTGCAGAAGAAGGTGCCTTTACTTCATTGAAGTTCGTCAGATCACAACTAGTTTTACTCATAACTGTACTGCCATGATAGATAAATGCATATTTAAAGTAAGATTCTTTTGAAGTTAGCTGAACAGTGCTTTGGAGAATTACTACTTGTGTTACTAAATGAACATTATTCATTTAGTTCAGTTTTCAGTTTTTGAGTTTTATTTTATTACTTGGTATTCAGCTCTGTATAAACTTACTGTCTTGTGGTGTGCTGATATTGCATGATGCAATGTGCACTGGTATTTATGGTTATGTATTGGTTGCTTTTGTCAATCATATTTAGCTTGAGGAAGCTTTGTTAATTTAACTTCAAAAGAAATACTAAATAATCATATTTGTGTCATTTCTTCACTAATTTCTTGTGTAGGTATGCCATTTCATCATGAAAATACTTTCATTTCTTCATCAGCATTTTTGTATATTCCCTTTTTGTCTCCGTAAGGACAAGATTTTCTCTTCTAGTTAGAAGAGCATGTAAAATGGAAGATCATTTTACAAATAAAGGCTAATTGGCCTTGAAACTTAGTGCTGATTATCTTCGTTGGGCAGCACCTATCTCAGCAGCATAGATGATACAACATAAGAAATGTCCTCCAGAGGGACCTGGACAAACTAGAGAAGTAGGCCCAATTGAGCCTCATGAGTTTCAGCAAGGCCAAGTGCGAAGTTACTTTTTGGTTAGAGCAGTCCCAAGTCTGTGTAGAGATTGGAAAAAGAACTCACTGAGATCTGCCCTGCTGAGAAGGACTTAGGGGTTCTGATGGATGAAAAGCTTTACATGAGCTAGCAGTGTGCTCTTGCTGCCCAGAAGGCCAGCCATATCCTGGTCTGCATCAAAAGAGGAGTGGCCAGCAGGGAGAAGGAGGGAGTTGTCCCGCTCTGCCCCATGCTCATGAAGCCCCATCTGGAGTATTGCGTCCAATACTGGGGCACCCAGCACAAGAAAGGCATAGAGCTGTTGAAGCGGGTCCAGTGGAGAACCACAAAGATGATCAAAAGTCTGGATCACTTCTCTTATAAGGAAAGGCTTAGGCAGCTGGGTTTTCTCAGCCTGGAAAAGAGGAGGCTGCAGGAAGAACTCACTGTGGCCTTCCAGTACTTGAAGGGAGCTTGTAAACAGAAGGGAAACCAACTTTCTACACAATCAGTTAGTGATAGGACAAGGGGGTGATGGCTTAAAACTGAAAGAAGGGAGGTTTAGATTAGATGTTAGGGGAAATTTTTCACTCAGAGGGTAATGAGGTGCCTGAAACAAACTGTTCAGGGAAGCTGTGGATGCCTCATTCCTGGATATTTTTAAGGCCAGGTAGGATGGGTTCATGGGCAACCTGATCTTGAGCCTGATTTAGTGGTTTGCAACCCTGTCCATGGATGGCGGTTGGTACTACATCATTTTTAGGTCCCTTCTAACCCAAGCCGTTCTGTGATTCAATGATGAATGTTTTTTATGTATAATGTATGCAAATATTCTTGGCCATTCTGATCAAAACTAAATAATTCTGCTAGCAGGAATTTACCAGTGCAGCAAACTACAAAACAGACAAAGAAAGATGCTTGTAATTTCAGAATAGAAAGAACCATAAACGAAATAAAATGAAATAAAATGAAATACATCTTCCATAGTTCTGTGTCAGGAATTTAAGGCAGTCCAATTAAACTGTCAATTGACATTTATTTAACTCATGTTAGCAAATAGTAATCTAGAAATGGGTTCTTAAAGTAAGAAATGTGATGAAGGTGAGGATGGCAGTATTGGTTATTCTCAGTGTCCTTATTCCATAGTGAGTCTGTGCCAACACCTAACATTTCAGTATATTTTCCAGGAGAAATATTGTCATTTTTAGAATGCTAGTGGAGAATCTTGGTCATTAAGGATATCCTATCTATACCTTCTTTTTCTGCAGAATTAGCATGCTTGTTTCGCAGAATATATTCAATTGCTGTAGGAAATACAGAAGCTATCATTGTGGCGCTCAGGGGAAGCATGAGAATGGTGGTCTGGAGAGAGAAAATATTTTGCTTAATGGAATATCTGTGAAGCCTGTTAACTTCATCCAGTGTAGTTGTATCCTGTGAGGGAATTATGTGAAAGCTGCACAAGAAGTGAGATCAACAGAAGCTGTTGATATTATGGCAATTATTCTTTAACAGCCAACTGTAGGAAACTGTAGGAAACCTCTACAGAAGGGTTTACACCTGCAACTCCTAGAATGAGAACAGTCAGTTTACAGTTTAAAAACTGTGACACAAACTGTTTTGACTGGGAAGATAAAACATCCTTAACTATTATATTAGGTCAAAGTACAAAAACTGTAGTCTGGTAGATTCAGCTGAAGGTAAATATTAAGCTTTCTACAATTTCCAAACGCAATTTGTACTACCAGGATTTATGTACTCTCTGTCATGATACTGGGCATCCCCAAGTCACTGGGGAGGAATTAGAGCCAATTCAGGCTCTTCAGAGTTAGTTTTTGTCTTTGGCAACACTATCTCATTCATCTTCACTTGTTTTAGTCATCCTCTTTAATACGAAAAGACTTTCATAGGTTATGTTTAAGTGAACAGTAATTTTGATTTTTACTACTGTTACAGTATAACTGTTGGCTTGAATATATCTGTATCTTGGAGACATGTATTTGAATTAGGTCCAATTTGGCATACATGGCTTTTGACAGTCATTTTATTTTTTTTTTTCTTTTTTGCCTAGCTTCTGACTTAATCCAAAATGCAGACCAGTTACTGTTTTACAAAGTATTAACCTTTATTTCCTGTGTCATTTTTAGATTTATTGTCAGTGAAGGAGCGTACTGAGGTCAATATGGAACAACTGTGCCCTGTTTCAGAAGAGATTTCTTCACAAGAGTCCACACACATTCCAAGAGAAATTGATGAAACCATAGTAACTGAATTAACTGTACCTGATGAAAAAGTTACCCAAATAGAAAATATACTTGATCTCTGGAGTGGAAGTCTTAAGGTATTTATTTTATATGCAGTTCTTAAAAATAACATACAAATGTCAGTATGTTGTTATAGATTAAGTGAGAGTGTGAGGAAATTTGTATGGTGGTTACATTCCAAAATGATGGTTTTCTTTTTTCTTTTTTCTTTTTTTTTTGTTGCATATTGCATGCAAGTATGAGACAAAAACTCCAGAATAGCTTTCTGTGTCACGGGTGTTTAGTTAGTTCACCATCTGGTAATGTATGTTGTTGCATACAGCCTGGAGACTTCCCTTCAAATACTGATCTGTCCTTAATTGCAGAGTGTTTTAAGATTAAAAGATTGGGGAGGATGGGAAATAATTTCACTACTGTCATCCTTTTACTTTTTAGACAAATGTTCTGAGTGAATTGAGAAAATGGAAATTAAGTTTTATCGAACATCACAAGCATCAAATGAGACAAGAAAAAGAGAAACATGCTGAGCATGTGAAACAATTGAACAATGAGATGGAAAATCTGAAAGAGTTGCTACGTACTTACGAGATTTCTATTGGCAGAAAAGATGAGGTAGTATTTCAATTTCAAAATTCAATTGTTCATTCTCTCTTTAAAAAAAAAAAAAAAAACTTTTTTACTGTCTATTTGAACAACCAAATACTTGCTACAATTAGGTAAATATCTTTAGACTGTATTGTGGAAAAATAATACATTAAGACTGTATGGTGGAAAAATGAATCATTGTTGCTAGTAAGCTTTTAAGAATGGAAATCTAGTATGAAGTATGTATATATTTTACATTGTTTGCTTTTAAATCTTGTATCTAACCTTATTCTTCCTTTGTTTTGTGAAAATCACACAAGAGTCTATTAGCTGTTATCTACAGAAAGCCATTTTTCTATTGATTGGATTGGTTTTACTACATTTTAACTAGGCAGCAGTCTTCAAAATGTTTAGAGAGTCTTAGTTTTGAGTTTCTTAGAACTGTACATTTGTGGTCTTCTATCTATGCTATTTTTCTATGAACAATTTCAAAATTAACTAGAACTGTGGACATGTATATAAAATTGTGGTAGACCTGCAATCGCATAAAATAAGAAGATTCAATTACATTAACCTAATTTTTAAACATTTTAGTTGAGAAGACTTCATGAAGTTTGGACTTCTAATCCATATTTACAATTAAAAAGACTGGTCTGTATTCTGAAAAATCTGGTGATAGACTTAGAATTTGAAGGAAGGGTGATCTTTTTCCTAAAATTAAATGCATTTCCTAATTGATGACAAATTATGCATATTTTCTTCTGATTTTAGATAAATTTTCTATTTATAACTGAAACAACAGTTTTTCTGAAACTACAAAAAGTTAGAGCTTGCCATATTTAAATAAATTTATTTATTAATTTATTAAAAATAGATAGTATTATGAAGAAATTATTCTTGTAATCTAGACGAAAGTCAGTGAATGAATGTTACTCCTGATTCAAATTCTGATTGTTTTTCCCTGCTTAATTGGATTAAAAGGAAGATTTTGTAAAAAGCTGCTGCTAAAAGTAAATGCTTTAAGTGAAAATAAGTCTGAAACTACATTCTGTTTGAGATTACAAAGATCATAGCTCTTGATGTAACATTAATAAATGCTTTTGCAGGTGATTACTAACATGACAGAAGCGTTAGAGAGGAAGAAAGAGAAAATAGAGTTAATGAGAAAGTTTACACTGTGGCGGATTCAGCAAATTAAATCTAAACAAGAGGTATGTGTACAAAATAAAAATGTGATAAAAATGAAAGCTGTGAACTCAAGAGTCAGAATTGGTGCAGCTCTTGTTACAGTTGGAAGAAATGACAATGTTTCTGTTTTGATATGCTAGAGAGTATCAAATAACAGTTTGAAAGCATCAGTCTCCCCCAAACGCTGCTGTCTGAATACTCTCTGGGATCATGAAAAAAATGGAAACTACTTGTTTAAGATATTGGTTTGCTCCTACTGTGACCATCTTATAGCAAATCGCTGAAGTTTACACTATATGTATTCTGATGTAGGTGACAAGAGAATGTCTTAATTTTAAATAAATTACATTTGAATAATTAAATTACTAAATATGACGTCTTACATTTTTTGGGACCCAGTCTCACAATTAAAACTTCAGCTGCCAAAACATGCATTAGCTAAGAGCTAGATACTTATTAAACGTGGAGCACTGTGTCAGGTGCTGTAAAGAGCCTGCTAAGTGAAACATAAAAGAAAAGGGGGATCCTGAATCAAAGCTGTAAAACTTTCACAGTCCAAAGTAGATTCATGTTTATTTGACAGTGTCTTAAACTCTGCTGTTTCACAGAAAGGGATAGCCTTTTCTCTTTTCCTTCTCTCCTGTGTGGAAATTTACTAATAATTTGGAGCTGCTTTAGGGAAATTACTCAACTTTTTCTATTTCTTCTGATTAATTTCTGAAAAAAAAACAATGCTGAAGTACATTGTCTGGTGAATATTTTGAAACAGAATAGAATTATTATTCATTATTGGAGTAAAACTATAGTATTTTGTTTAAAAAAAAAAAAAAAAAAAAAACACTAGTTAAAGCATCCTGGACACTCTCCCTCTCTCTCTATATATATGGGTTTTTTTTAAAGATGGTGATTTATGCTAATATCAGCTATCCTTGTGACTGTAAGCTTGTACCATATATGTGAGGCTTTTGTTTACAAGTCATTAAGCTATGAATAAAAACACTGCTTTGTGTAATCTAGGTGCTCTACAATGTGTTTTCTGTTGCTGAGTAAAGTTCCTTAATGTGTGCACAGGAAGAATAATTGAGCTAGTGATATGGTGTTTCACAGTGAAGCAGCACATAAATACAAAACTCAGACATTCCCACTGTGGTCTGCGTAATATGTGGCTAAGCAGTGATCTGCAATCACTTCAGTTTTTAGCTAATTTGCACTTGCTTATAACGTGGTTTCATTTGTTTCCCAAGGAATATACAAACAGAATAGCAGATAAACAGTTCCAGACAGCTTTGAAGAAGAAGGTGTGGACAGCATGGCGCTCTCTTAGTGAAGAAAGATGGAAAGAAAAAGTAGCTAAAGCCTGTCAGTTAAGGGCAGAAGATATCTGTGTTCAGCTTACCAATGATTATGAAGCCAAAATTGCAGAGGTATAGTAAAGTTTTTTTTTCCATTCCTTCACTCGTTCTCTCAATACATCAATTTCCCCAAAGCATATCTTTCTCAGCAAGCTTGAAAAACATGAAGACTTTCCAAGAGAACAGAGCTCTAAAGTACAGGAAAAGATGTAAGGAGATCTAGGATTTCTCCTGCAGATGGTTGCTTTCTGATATAAAATGTTGCTGATCTGCACATGCAGGTGAAGTAAATATCTATTTTCACATCAGTAGGAATTGTACCTGATTTCTACACACTGTTAATATTTGCTATTTTTTTTGAGGTCTCACTGAAAAAGAAGGACATAATAGAAACAAAAATCTATTATTATAAATGACCATAAGGAGTACAATATCCTTATCTATAACAGCTACTATGTTAGAGGCTGAATACAAGTTTATTTTTGTCTTCAACCCGTCAACTACTCTTGTTGAAAAATATTCAAAGTTTATGGTGAAGTTAGGCTAGTAATGACTGGTGTCCCCCAGAGGTTTGTCTTCGGGCCAGTACTGTTCAACATCTTTATCAGTGATCTGGACAGAGGGACTGAATGCACTGTCAGCAACTTTGCAGGTGATGCTAAGTGGTCAAAAGAAGGAAGGGTTGGCATTCAAAGAGACAAGCTTGAGAAGTGGGCCCACATCACAAAATTACAGAATTGTAGGGATTGAAAGGGACTTCTGGAGATCATAATGTCCTACTGCCTGCTAAAGCACGTTTCCTACAGTAGGTCATAGGGAAAAATTTTAAGATGGGTCTTGAATATTTCCAGAGAAGGAGACTCCACAACCACTCTGGGCAGACTGTTCTAGTGCTCTGGAATCTAATGAGCCTAATTGGATTCAGCGAGTTGAAGCACAAGATATTGCAATTACATTGTGGCAATCCCAGGTCTGTGTATAGGTGGAAGAAGAACTCATTGAGATCTGCCCTGCTCAGAAGGACTTGGGGGTTCTGATGGATGAAGAGCTTTACATGAGCTAGCAGTGTGCTCTTGCTGCCCAGAAGGCCAGCCGTATCCTGGTCTGCATCAAAAAAGGAGTGGCCAGCAGGGAGAAAGAGGGAGTTGTCCCCCTCTGCCCCACGCTCATGAGGCCCCTTCTGGAGTATTGCGTCCAGTACTGAGGCACCAGCATAAGAAGGAGGTGAAGTTGTTGGACTGGGTCCAGAGGAGAGCTGCCATGGTGATCTGAGGGCTGGAGCACTTCTTGTAAAGAATCACTGAAGGAACTGAGTTTGTTAAGCTTGGAGAAGAGAAAGCTCCAGGGAGACAAAATTGTGGCCTTCCAGAAGCTAAAGGGAGCTTATAAACAACAGGGAGACCAACTTTTTTCACTGTCTGATAGTGATAGGACAAGGGAAAATGGTTTTAAACTAAAAGAGGGAAGATTTAGATTATATATTAGGGGGAAATTGTTTTTTTTTTTTTTTACACAGAGGTTGGTGAGGTACTTGGAGCAGACTGTTCTGGGGATGCTTTGATTGCTCCATACACTTGGAGATTTTCAAAGTCAGGTAGGATGGGTTCATGGACAGCCTAACCTAGTGGGTGATAACTCTGCCCTCTAGTTTGCTACGGATAGAATCACAGAATGGCCTAAGGATCATTTAGTTCCAATCCAAGTCCTTCTATGATTCTATCCGTAGCAAACTAGAGATTTTGAAGTGGAAATACATCTTGTAAACACATTAAGTGACTTTTCAAGCTAATTGAATATGTTCGTGGTTTGCATCAGATGTATAAGGCAGCTGTTTCCGTATTCTCTATTGTAGCTAACTGCTACTTTGGAACAAACAAAAGCTGAGATTCTGCGTCTGCACAGTGAAAGAGAGCAGTATGAAGACACTATGAAGAAAGCATTTATGCGTGGTGTTTGCGCTTTGAATCTGGAAGCAATGACCATGTTTCAAGGCAAGGACAATAGGACAGATCCTGGTCAGTATAAAAGTAGATTTAATTTGGGAGTTTGTAGTTTTTGTTCTTATTGTCTTCTGTTGTTTTTTAAAAAGGATTCTCCTTTTTTTCTTCCTTTTTTTTTTTCAATATGAAGACTTTATCAAATATATATTCCTTTTAAAAGGATGGATTGAATATGTAAAAAAAAAAGTTCTGATGCTGAAGAACATACTGCTAAGTAATAAATAAAATGAATGATTTCTCAAAGATGGTAAATTCATGAATAAAATGTTTACGTTTCAATGTGTTATAAACACGAAACTACTCTTTCAAGTTTTATCTTATATTTGCATGTTTATTGTTTTCAAAAAAACATGCAGTAGATAGTGTGTCTCACAGATAGCGATGGGTAACTGAATTATGTGTTTTGTAATCTGTGGACCTTTAAACTTCTGTGTCTGCAATACATATCTACAAACACTGCAGTGCCACCTATTGTCACTGCAAGTAAAAGCAGAATTTGGTCCCTTATGAAGACTTACAGGTAATTATTAATAGTGTATCACAATTTGACATGGGTCTAGTATTTGGAGACAGTGTAGATGATCAGCAGTCGGTGGCTGATTTACTGATGGTTTTGCATATCATGTTTTTTTAGCTTGAATCCACGATAGCTCATGTTCTGTTATAATGGAAATACCACTGCTTAAGTAATGTTGATCAAATATATATGCCATTAATCCTTTCTGTGCCTGAGCTTAATGTGTATATGTATATATACATATATGTTTGTACAAAATGTGTATTCTGGCATATTTTCATTCTTGAAAACCTTGAATATTGTACCAATTGAACTGTTAATTATTATATTTTTCCTGCTCACTTTAAGAGAACAGCAGCAAAAACAACAACAAAAAAAAGAACAGTTGCCATACAATATACTCTAATCCCTGAAATGAGCTTCTCCTGGAGTTTCTGTTGCATTCTTTGCTTTAGAAATGGAAGGGTAAACAAGAGTATTTCTCTCATTTCCTTTAAGGAAATGTATATTCTAAAAGTAAAGGCTGAAACAACTTGAAAAGATTCTGCGCTTAGGTCTACTGATCACATGTCCCAGGGTGTCTGCACTGAGGCAAAAGAGTGGTGCTGTATTCAATACAGTCTTTCCCTTTCTCATTGCTGTCTTTCTGAAGTAATTTTTGGCCTTCAGTGTAACAGCAGCTCTTACACTATATAATATATAATACTATATAATACTTGGATTAGTCTCTGCAAGCAGTATTCAGAAGCTCTGTGCTTTGCACTGAAATTCGACAAGCAGATAGAGCAAAACAGAGAAACAAGCCACCTGAAATTTCTGTTTCCAGACTTCTGAAAAGGAGGGTCAAATAAGGAGTAGAATAGACTGATCGCTTTAATTAGTTCATACAAAAATACCAAAGGAGTAGTAAAACTTTTATTATAACATATTTTGTATCCCCTAGCGTTTCTTAGATTATGTGCTGATCCCATTTCTTTGTGCTTCTTAAAATAGATGCAGGAAGTAGGAGAGAAGATAACGGTGCTATTATAGCAGGAAGGCTACCTCATTCACAGTACAGTCCCCCTTCACCACCCCCTGCACCAGCAACTACTCTTCACACGGAAGACTTGGTAAGTCAGTGCTGTATTCACTAGTAGTGAAAATAAACTTCCTGCCATGGGGCTTTTTAAAGATAAATATGATAGTCCATGAATTGAAGGAATTTGAATTTAGACTAAGTATAAAAAGAAACCTACAAGTATGTTCAGAGTGTTTGCTGTCAATGAAGTGCATCAGTCATGGTTGCTAAGTCTTGCCATGCTTTCAATTAGATCTGTTTTTTATTTTAGTGAAGATGTGTTAAGAAGAAAGTTACTATTACAAGCAGAATTTGCTTTCCAAGGTTTTTATGAAAAAAGAAGTTGCTAGACTGGCTTGCCAAAAAAAAAGAACTGAGCTTACTATTATCTGGGAAAAAAATGGAAGTTAGCTTGACATTACATTTATTTAAAAAAAATGCAGCATGTAGAGTCACTGAAGAAAAACTTATCTTACTGTCCTGTCATGTCAGCTTATCCAGATTATTATCCAGTAGCCTAGAAGTTCTAGACCTGCTTTCTGGGGTTATGCTGAAGACACTGCCGCTGTAAAACAATTCCACTTTAGAATGGGGAGAGGACATGCTTGCCTCTTTTCCCAGTTTTCCATTCTAACAGTATCAAATATTAGTCACTTAATTTTATGAATTTTTAGACAGGTTTCTTTTTTTTTTATTGTAAATTAGCCAAAAAAAACCCCAAAACATAAAAAATAGTACTAATACATCTGCAAAAAAGCTTGAATTTAGAAAGGTAACTGGCATAGTCAATAGGCTGTCTATCTAAAGAGCAAAACTGTATTTTTGGGAACATTATACTCATTCTTTAAACTCTGATTTAATTAACAGTTTTCTATTCACCTGGGTCATGCAAGCACTTCTCAGACAAGGCTAGATTCTGATTCTCCAGTAATCATCCCTGGCACAGCTGCAGGATCTGGGCTGGCATCAACTCAAAAATTGGTAACATGCTCAGACTGACTTTTTTTAATTCTTAAGACAATTACAACAAATTTTTAGTTTCCACTTTTTTCAGAGCTGTTCAAGTGTGTAGTTGAGAAAATTGTCATAGAGTTCAGTTACATATGTGAAGACACTGTCTTGTGAATGCTTGTTAATGTGATGGAAAAACCCTCTTAGGATAAGCTTTAACTTATTTTTGGAGTTAAATATTTGGACAAAATAAAGAGTAAGAAAGGTGCATGTGCATTTAGGTGTAATACAACAGGAACAATTGGTGTTTCACATGGTACCATTTTGTTCTGGAAAAAAATATGGTCTACTTTTGCCTCCTGCTATTTAATGTGTCTCTCTCATTCTCTTTTCTGTACTTATTACTAAATAGTACTTTTAAATTTCCTCAAGGGTCCTCTGCATTGCTCTCCTTTCCTTTTCTCATCTGATGCAATTTGCTACCAGCAATCAGAAAGATGCAACTTTATATCACATAGAAGTGTTTTTGTATCTGCTGTGTCACTGCTGGAAAGACTTGTCAGGGTGATGGAAGTGCCTGCAGCTATCACTAGAGTATGCAGCCAGTGAGCAAAGCTAAACTACCCGTGCAGATTAATTTTTGTCAAATTTGCCTTACTCCCTGAGGACAGTAGTCACTTGCACTAAAAAACATCTCTGTGGAAAAAGAATTAACTAGGTTACAACTAGGTGGAGCAACCTCGTCCTGTATGTAACATAAGTGTATTACATGTGGTTTCCTATGTTATGTTAGGCAAGCAGCTAATAAAAGTAAAACATTGTAAATATTATGCTAAGAAATTTTGCTAACTAATATCTAATTTATTTGTAGCCCATGGCAAAAGTTATAACATCTGCTCAACAGAAAGCAGGGAGAACAATCACTGCTCGAATCACAGGCAGATGTGATATGGGACAAAAACACAGAATTTGTGGTAGTTTAGCAGTGATGGGAGTTGCTCCACCCATGAGTTCAGTCATTGTTGAAAAACATCATCCAATCACTCAGGTAAGTCAGAATTATGCTTGTAATAGTATTGTTAATATTATATTGTATAAATAAAAATGACCACCGTGAAGAGATACATAATTAGACTTGAGTCCTTTTTAAAATAATATGCAGTACTATTTTTGGGCTGGGTAGAATGACAGAGTAAGGTAAAGTGGCAGTGTTTAATACTTTTATCATATTTTGTTCATAGGTAGAATAATCTCTTTCTTGGCCAACTCTTCAGTGAGTCTTCCTGTCCATAGCTGGTTGTCATCTGCTCCAACAATGTTAGGTGCTATTATCACACGGCTTCCATTTAAAGACAAGCTTTGCAGTGGAGCAGTCATTTCAAACATGGTAGAGATACGGGTTTTACTGGCAAACTGAGAATAGCAAATTATTGGAGAAAAAAGCAGAATCTTTGTCAAGAGGAAACAAAGTTCATCTGGCCTGCTTCTTGTTGTATCTTTTTATTTTCCCCAATTATCTGAAGAAATACTGAGACAAGTGCATTAATAGGGTATGAAAGCAGTGTAAAAGATGACTGTAAACCGTAGCCCAAGTATCTTAGTCTGTCACTATGCATTTAGACCAATCTGAGCAAAAAAGGGTTTTAACTTTTTAAGAATTCAAAGACTGTGACTAGTGTCACTACTGTACCAAAGCCTGCCTTTTAAAAATGCAGTCACAAAGTTGCAGAATGGTTGAGGTTAGAAGGTGCCCCTGGAAGACACCCCATCCAACCTTACTCAATCAGGGACACGTGGAGCAGATTCCCAGGCCTCTGTCAGTTTGTATTAGGAATCTTTCTCTTTAAACTACAGTTCACTTACAGTTACTTGAATAGAGTTGGGTTGTTTTGCATTCTTTAAAGATTTGTGGTGTCTGATTACTTTTCAGCAAACCATATCCCAAGCCACTGCTGCTAAATATCCTCGAACTGTGTTCCTTACTTCTGGTTCTACAACTGTGAGACCTGCAGGACAAGCTGGGCGAATGCTTCAGAGCCAAACTCATACCAGCGTTCAGTCAATAAAAGTTGTTGACTGAATAAATATCTTATACTGGGTGGAGGCTTTTATCAAGATACGTAATTTAAACCTCTTCCCAGTCTTCTCAAAGCTTGACGTAGCAAGACCTAAAATATGTATCATGTTTTCAGCCCTTTTAACAAAAAAAGTGTTTGCAGAAAGCATCTGGAGGGGAAAATGACCTTGAAATGTTATTCTACCTCCTATTTGAAAACTTGATTATTAACATAAACGCTTTATTTAAATAAACAATCTTTTGCACATTTTCAAATAAAGGATAAAATATGATATTTGTCCGAAGTGCTTGTCTACTTCTGGTATAAATGTTAGTGCATTTATTTTCAAGTAAAAAATTAAATTTATTTTTGTTCTCTATGCTTTTACTAAATGTAGTTGACTTAACTGAAACAAAGAATAACAGATAATAGGGCCTCCACAGCTAGGATGTGGCATGAGTCAGGTTAGACACCTCGAGTCTATCAAACTGTCAAGCGATTTCATTTTTTCAAGTAAGTTGCAGAATGTTGCAAAAGTTGATGCATACCTGGCAGGATGTAAGAGTTTGTGTTTTAACTTAGATCCCAAATTCTAAAACCTGGGGATTTACCAGTCTCTGTCTTTTGTATAGTTCTGTAGCGTTGTCAAAGTGGCTTGAACGTGAAAAGGCACTTAGGCGTAAGACTAAGACATCAGATTATCAGCTTTGTATGCAAACACTGAAGTCCAATACCAAATAATGCTAAGTATACAGAGGTAGATAAGGCAGTACCTCAGTACTTCCATTATATGCTAAAACTTGCTGTTATGTTACAGATGTGGGAGTATGAAATGGACATTCTACATCATTTTTCATATGTGAAATGCATTCAATAGTCAGAAAACTTGTAAACATTATCCAAGACACCACCAAATATGGTTCAAGGCATAAACATGGTTTTAAAATGTTAAAATATATATATTAAAGTATTATCAAATATTCTTTTTTGAGTGTATAAACAAGGTTATGCCATGACAAAATTCTGTAGTTATTACAGATGGTTTTAGATGCTATTTTTGTATATTTTTACTATATGAATCGAATGCTGAAGAGGAAACATTTGTTTAAGCACTAACTAAACAAGAAAGTCTCCTCAGCTAGGAAAACTGTAATCCTAGCAAGACTATAAAAACCTGAATTCCAAGTGAGGTGAGGTGCCAACTATTTTGGGAAGTGTTGATTTATACACACAATTTTCACTTATTAAATTTATTTCAGCAAGAAATGTCTCATTTACATTTTAGGTCGAACACGAAATAGCTTTAGTGGGGAGTTCTGATAAGGAATTATTGTAACAATGTTAAGGCAGGTGCGGAAATTACAGGGTACCTCTTGCTTGACAGTATAGTTCTAAATTACCACCTAGGCATTCACTTTAGATCATTGTATAGCAAAGAATAACCAGTATTTCAAGAGAGCAAGTTCTTCTAGCTTGAATAAAGCCATGCAGCTTCAAAATACATTTTCATTTCTAGAGAAAATATTTGTATATGAAAGTCTCTCCATCTGGCATGTAATTCCATCACGTATGCCATTAATGAACTCATGAAATTTCACATTTTCTGGACTCCATGTCAGTGCTACTTTCAGTTCTGATCTTCTCTATAAAGAAAGATGAGAAAATACTTGCTTGACATGCTCAGATTTTACATGGCCAGCACTTATTTCAATGAAGGAATGGGCAATCACATTTTAATGGTGTTTGTAAAAGGAGAGCAAAGTGTATATATTTCTTTCTTCCTTCAGAAAACTTGTCTTGCTTAAACTCTCTTCCTTGACCAGCCCCAGCCCCTTGCAAGGGCAGATACCCAGAGAGGAGTGTCCTCCGCCTCTACCACAGTCGCATCTTCCCAGCACAGGCTGGGAGCTTAGCACTGCGTGGCACTTTCATAAATGCTCTCTACACCACAAAAAAACTTACCAGCTAAATGCTGAAATCCTGCTTCCACCAAGTCTTTGAATATATGCTTGACAGGATTCTCATGGGCCAGCAAAGTACCGTGTAACCAGATCAGCAGCATTCTGTGGCCGTGTTCTTTATAACTTTTTTTCCCTATGGAATACACAAATCAATTGTCTGTTTGACTTGCTGGAAAAGTGCTGTTTTCTGCTTTTTACACTTCTACAGTTCCAAGAGGCTTTTAAACCTGCTCATTCACTCTCACTTCCTCTCCCATCTAGAAGCAAAATGAAGACTGAGACATAAAGGTTAAGAATAATAAATACATATATAATATTATATAATAAATATAATAATAAATATAATGATAAATAATAAATATCCTAAGGCTTAATAAATAAATCCAATATGAATACATCTTAAAATAGCTACATGTTTTAAGATGGTTTGTATAACTTAAGTCTATCCATCCCACTAGTTGCTGTTACCTGTCCATTGTTCCTCAATAGCTTTAATCTGCTCATCTGTGAACTTCCAGAACAGGGCCAGTATTTTCCATTCCTGGGGTTTAAAATGATTGTATGCCAGATTCCACAGGGAGGAACGGAGTTGCTTGGTCTGTGCACTATGATCTTGTTTGAAGGACAAATCAGAGTCTGACCAACCATCACTATGATCTAGGTGTGCCTAACAACGACAGCAAATGACGTTTTTTGTGATGAAGGTGAGAACTTAGCAGTGAACACTGTGTCCTGCACAGCCTTACGTGACTACCAGCAGGTGAAAGGCTCGGTGCAGATAAAGGGGCAATGCTGGCTGGCAGTAAGGTCTTAGGAAGGTGCTTAGCATGGGTGACGCTATTCTAGTATTAATACTAGAAATGCCAGAAATGAAGACCTCCTGTGTTCATTGCTACATGTTATTAAGAGCAAAATAAAATTACTTCAGACACACACTGCACAACAGCAGGTAAAAGCAAGAATTACTTGAGTCCCTTGGCTGACAACTTTGGAAGCCACATGTTGGAACAGCCACAGCTCTTACTCATTTTGTTTGATGTACACCACCAACACAGCACTTGCCCAGACTGCTCCTGCCCCTGCCTTGTCACTCAGTTTGACTGGTGCAGGCACTACCATGTCACTGGTTGGCAGCATGAAACACTAGCATTAGCACACATCCATAGTGTTTGAGTACTAACATACATGGAATCTGAATGTACCCCGACCAAAAATACAACCAAACCACAAGCATTTTGCCCTGAAATTAGGTTTGGAGCTCTAAGCACAGGAAGGATGTAGAGCTCTTGGAGCACGTCCAGAGGAGGGCCACTAAGTTGATGGAGGGCTGGAGGGCTGGAGGGCTGGAGTACCTCTCCTATGAGGAAAGGTTGAGGGAACTGGGCTTGTTTAGCTTGGAGAAGAGAGGGCTCCGAGCCTCACTGTGGCCTTCCAGTACTTGAAGGGAGAATATAAACAGGAGAGGCAAATGATTGTTTACAAGGGAGAATAGTGATAGGACAAGGGGGAAATGGTTTTAAACTGAGACAGGGAAGGTTTAGGTTGGATATTAGGAGGAAGTTTTTCACACAGAGGGTGGTGATGCACTGGAACAGGTTGCCCAAGGAGGCTGTGGATGCCCCATCCCTGGAGGCATTCAAGGCCAGGCTGGATGTGCTCTGGGCAGCCTGGTCTGGTGGTTAGCAACCCTGCACATAGCAGGGGGATTAAAACTAGATGAGCATCGTGGTCCTTTTCAACCCAGGCCATTCTATGATTCTATGATTTCCAGGTGAATTTCATGAAAAGGGGTTATTTTCTACCCTGAGAGCCTTGCAGTTAAAACAAAACAAAACAAAAAAGTCATAATTCAGTAACTAATCATCATCATGGGGGTTTGATGCTATTTCTTCAGGTGCAGACTGTGTTTTGTGCTTCCAGACACTTGCAGAGTGAAGTTTACAACAGAATAGTACACATGAATGTTTACAAGTCTATGGGGCCGGATGGCGTGCATCCCAGGGTTCTGAAGGAGCTGGCTGAGGTGGTTGCCGAGCCGCTTTCCATCGTATTTGGAAAGTCGTGGCTGTCAGGTGAGGTCCCGGATGACTGGAGGAAGGGTCACGTCACTCCCATTTACAAGAAAGGGAAAAAGGAGGACCTGGGGAACTACAGGCTGGTGAGTCTCAGCTCTGTGCCTGGGAAAATCATGGAACAGATCCTCCTGGACGACATGCTTGATCACATGAGGAAAGGGCGTGTGATCCGAGACAGCCAGCACGGCTTCACCAGGGGAAGGTGATGCTTAACCAATCTGGTGGCCTTTTATGATGGAGTGATGGCACTGGTGGACAAGGGAAAGGCGACAGATGTCATTTAGCTGGACTTGAGCAAGGCCTTTGACATGGTCCTCCACCACATCCTTATCTCCAAATGGAGGGATGTGGATTTGATGGGTGGACCACTCGATGGATAAGAAACTGGTTGAAAGGCAACAGACACAGGGTGGTCATCAATGGCTCTATGTCCAGGTGGAGGCCGGTAACAAGTGGCGTCCCCTACTGTCTCTCTTGGGACCGGTGCTCTTTAACATCTTTATCAATGACATTGATGATGGAATTGAGTGCACCCTCAGCAGGTTTGCTGACAATGCCAAGCTGAGTGGTGCAGCTGACATGGTTGAAGGAAGGGATGCAATTCAGAGGGACCTCGAGAGGCTAGAAAGGTGGGCTCGGGGGAACCTGGTGAGGTTCAACACGGCAAAGTGCAGAGTTTTGCACTTGGGCCAGAGGAATCCCAGGCATCCCTACAGACTGGAAGGAGCGGTCCTTGAGAGCAGCCCTGTGGAGAAGGACCTGGGGGTCTTGATAGATGGCTCCAGGCTCTCTCCAGTGCTTTTTCTCTTGTAAGGTTTGAAAAGAAAGCAACAATTAAACAAAACGAAGAGAGAAACAAACAAAACACAGCTGCTCTTTGCTGACAGTTGTGTGCATAGGCAGTGGCAGTATGGGACAGCAAAAGCAGCCCTGGAATCTGGTTGAAACCAGGGAAGGGACGGTTGTGCCCATAGATAAGACTAGCAGAGAGAACAAGAGAGCCTTTCACACGCCTTTGAGTCATGTGCACTTCCTCACAGCAGTTTTGCATTCCATTTTTTAACTAATGCTTTGTCACAGATGACCAGTCAGCTCAGTGTAATATAAAGGCAGTTCCTGCTATAATGATTCGAAACGCTGTGATTTGGTAACACTAAGAGAACAATTTCATTTTCCATGACTGTAACCTCTGAGCTGCTTCCCAAACGCCATGCCCTTAGCTATGGGTAATGAGACCAAACACTCGCGTTTCTACTTCCCAGCATTGTTGGGCTCTTGCACAAACCCTGCTGCTTTAACATCTGATCTCCTACTCAGGATGGTCAGCAAACAAAACCAAGGGGTGGGTGCAGCAAGTGACCTCACTTATAAATTCCCTTTAAGCCAAAAGAAAAAGTAATACACCTGACCGCCCCTCTGAACTGACAAATCAGGTGTGCACAACATGGCTCACAGATGTGTTTGTCACTCTAACTAACCTAGCTCTGTGATCTACCAGCGCAGTTCCCTGCAGCGTTAAGGATCACCTGGGCTGTAACAGAGCACCAGTCCATGAGTCTATGCTCAGGAGGACTGTGGCTGCTCACACTGCTTGGACAGGCCCTCATCCACAGTGGTAGAGCTTCAGTGCCAAGCAGCAAGGGCAGGGACAAGTCATACTTGTGAGACATCAGCAGTGGGAGTGAGGGATCAGATCAGAAACCTGAGCTACATCCACGGCTCCACTGCATTCCTGTCACCAGTTCTATCATCCCAGATTTAAATAAATAGACTTTCCTTCTTACAACAGGCATCTTTTTCTGCCTCACCAGGGCCAGCCTGCAGGCAGTGTTTGAGACAACTTGGGGATTTTAAACTGTATTAAAATTTAATTAATTCTCAGAGAGCTCACGTGAACCTATGGCTCAAAAAAAAAAAAAAAAAAAAAAAAAAAAAAAAAAGCAAGACTATATTATTTATGGATATGGATTAATATCCTCCAAAATTAATATTGGTCATCCTATGACATACCTCTCTTTTATCAGGTGCATAGACATAGCAGGTGCTTTGTAGCTATGAAATAAACAAACTTTTTCAGAATTCTGAATGGTCCCAATTAAGACTGCTATGTAACAAGTCTTGAATTTTCAAGACCTATTAGGGATGAGTTTGAATTTCAAGGCAGGTCTTCAGCATGGGTGCCCACAGCAGCCCAGCCCAAACGCTCTGTCTTTGTAAAGATGCTAAGTTCAGCTCTCCCAGCTCAGGCACCTCCTGCAGAGCACCAGGGGACAGCATGAATGAAACAGTGAATGCAGCAGTTATTGGTATGTCATTGCTGCTGACTCTCAGCCCCATAGGGAGGAGCATCATTAAGCCTGTTTCTCAGTAAGTATGACATTGTGGGAAATAAATTTAGAAACAGAGACAGCCTGAGGTCATTATAACCCCTGTCCTCCCTTCCCTACGTTGCCTGCCTCTTTCCTGTTCCCTTTCTTCATTTCAGCAATTAACACAGGAAGAACAGAAGAGGGAGCTCCCACTGCAGCGCTGAGCTCTTCTCAGTAAATGGAAGGCGATGCCTGAGCTCCTCCGTGCATCAGCTGCGGATTTTGCAGCACCAAAAGACTGCAGCCTGATGCCGACAGCCTAGTTTGAATTTGGGTCAGAATGTTTCTCCATCCTTTTTCTCTGTGTGTAGAGTATGATGCAGGAAACTGAACTGGATGACCTTTAAGGTCCCTGTCAATCCATGCCATTCTATGATTCTGTGTTTCCGTGAAGTCTCTTACCTGTTTCATGGCATAATACCTTTCTGCTTTAATGATCATATCTACAATGAGGGCGTAATTGCTCCTTGAAGCCACGGCAAGTGCAGTTTTTCCATGCTGAAAGCAGAGAGAGTGAATCAGCACATCACCTCATATATACAAGGATAGAACAGAAGAAACACGAGCTGTGTTGACAGAACCCCATTCTTTTTGTGCTTTTATCCCAGTCCATCTGAGCCCACCTCAGCAATCAACACTTTGGCGTACAGGCACCTCAATGGCTTTCCACATTTCTCTCTATAATCAGCCCTCTTCAGGGCTCTGCACCAAGTGGAGACACCTCAGATATGAACACTCAGGCAATGTTCTTGCTAGGCATTCCAGAAAGTTAGACTGCAGAGAAGCCAACCCCTTCATTAGAAGGCTCTGCCATTAAATCATTAAACGTTTCAACGGCCCAGTTACTACAGAAAGCCCTAATATACATGAGGAGACCAGAGGCAGCAGGAGCTCCTTAGGGCTGCATTCCCTGGGATGTGTGCACAGAATGAGGTGTCCCTGGCCCCTTGTGCTGGTGCACATGCCGTCAGCACAGTCCCAAGCTTCACATCAGGCTACCAAAAAAAAAAAGAAAAAAAAGGAAAAAAAAAAAGGTAACGTAAGTTTCATAAAGCTTTGCTCCAGGACAGTTTTGTGCATGGAAATTCTTCTTTAAATGACTAAAAACCTAGATTTTGTCAGTAATTTAATCGTATCTGAACTCAAAAGCAGCTTCTTTGCTAAAGCTATTCCAGATCCCTGCAAATTGCAGGTAAGGCAGTATAAAAAGTGAGCTTCCTTTGTACAAATGAGCATGTGGCTGCTCTCATTCCACGTAGGATGACTGGAAACATGTGCTTCCTGCGTTTCTGGGAAGGAGGTCATAAAACAAAATAAAGCTATGTAACCCATGCACGCATGAGGAAGGTACTCTACCCTGTCCATGATCTTGAGGTCACAGCCTGCCTTCAGCAGCACTTCCACCATCTCAACATTGCCAACATCAGCAGCCAGATGTAGGGGAGTTTCCTGCCTCTGCAATTAAAAACACCAAATAAATACGAGTCAAACTCCACGTAGAAGAAAAATGCACACAATTTGAATCTAGAGAAGATTCACAACAAGAAAACTGGAAAGTACCAAACAGAATGAAAATGTAACTCTTGAACAACTGCTAGTTTTGTTTCAGACAGAAAAAAGAAGGAAGCATCTGGGATACCTGCAGGAAAAACAAACAGGAACTCCAGCTCAGGAAAAAGCTGCCATCATGCCCCACTAATGCACCATAGCATAAGGAGCTCTTGCTCTACCCTCTTAAAACAAGATTTTTGTGTTGAGTGTTACATGCAAGTACCAATATCCACACTATCCTCTCAAGTAACCGCTCCCTGCTGAAGTTCATGAAAAGACAACTTGGCATCAATGATTTTCAAACAAACATGCTGCTGCAGTTCATGACAGGGCTTCTTTCTTAGCCAGCTCTTCCACACTCTGGTGATTTGGAGTGAAAGGTAGAACAGAAGTCCATCTGCTGCATAAGGGGGTCCAATAATTCTTTAAGCACATTAATTTTTTTTTTAAAAAAAACCAAAACACTTTAAAATAAAGGCCAAGCCCTTATATAGAAAATACAGCTAGATGAACATTCAGCTTCTAGTCTAATCTTCACGTCTGTAATCAAGGTTTTGTCATCTTCATACAGATGCATTCACCTAAATCAAATTCGTTTATTTATCCTTCTATTGAACTCCATGAAGAAACCAGGAGCACGTGCCCTGGGGAGCTCAGCAGCCTGGTGATCTGTTTCCTGTTCACGAAGAAATGTTGTCCTGCTCTTTTCTTTACTGTTTGCACAGATGGGAAAATATTCCAGATGCCTACTGCTACAATATAGCAGCAAAGAAGATATGCTGTCACTTATGGAAGTCTGGTGGAGCTGGACAGCTTGTTCCACATGATACAGTGACCTTTTAAGTTGAAGGTTTTGTGACTGCTGTGGTTTTGTCTGGGATTGAGTTAATTTTCCTAATCATAGAATCATAGAGTTATTCAGGTTGGAAAAGACCTTAAAGATCATCAAGTTCAACCATGATCTAACCATATTACCCTAACTCTAACAACCCTCTACTAAATCATGTCCCTGAGCACCACATCCAGACAGTTTTTAAACACATCCAGGCTCCCTGGGGAGCCAATTCCAGTCCTTAACAACCCTTTCTGTAAAGAAGTGTTTCCTGATATCCAGCCTAAACTTACCCTGGCACAACTTGAGGCCATTTCCCCTCGTCCTGTCACCTGTCACCAGTGAGAAGAGACCAACCCCACTCCTGCTGTAAGCACCTTTCAGATATTGGAAGAGAGCAATAAGGTCTCCCCTCAGCCTCCTTTTCCCCAGACTGAACAGCCCCAGTCCTTCAGTCTCTCCTCATAGGGCACATTCTCCAAGTCCTTCACAAGCCTTACTGAACTTCTTTGGACCTGCTCCAGCACCTCAATGTCCTTTCTGTACTGAGGTGCCCAAACCTGAACACAGTACTCAAGGTGAGGGCTCACCAGCACCGAGTACAGGGGCAGTCGTGCTCACCACACCGTTCCTGATACAAGCCAGGATGCCATTGGCCTTCTTGGCCACCTGGGCACACTGTTGGCTCATATTCAGCTGATTGTCCATCAGTACACCAGGGTAATAATAATAATAACCTAATAGTTTCTGGCATGGTGCCCTGTTTTGCATTCAGGAGAAAATCACCCTTGGTGACATAGCGATGTTTTAGCTATTGCAGAGCAGCCCCTGCACACAGCCAAGCGCTTTCCAAGCTGTGGCACTGCCCTGCCTGTGCATCAGGGCTAGAGGAAGGAGAAGAAGGTGCTGATCTTCCCTCTCTCCTCAAAACATCTTTCAGAAGAGAAAAGGATGAAAGGTGTGATTACTGATTTTCTCCATGAGATGGTTTGTGGAGCTGGGACAGCAGCCAAGTTGGTCCCAAACATCACATTAAGCTCAAGGCCTCTGTTCTTCCCATAGTTCCCATAGAGGCAAAGCAAAACTGAGCTATAAACAGCACCGAGGGAGCAAAGAAGGGCTTGGCACTGTGCAGGCCCTGCTCGGCAGCAGCCGAAGCACCACTGTGTTATCAACTCTGTTTGGGCCACAGATCCAAAACACAGCACTCTGTGGGCTGCTATGAAGATAGATAGCTGCATCCCAGCCAGATGAAGCACACTCAGACAGCAATGTACGTCCAAAGGAATAAACTTGTGCTCCAACTTCAATTAGAAAACCCTAATTTTTCTTTCTATGTAGTAATCTTTGTTAGATATCATTATTTCTTAATGAGAAAGGGTGGACAGTCTCTCAAATCTAGAATGACTTTGCTAGAACAGTCTAGAACTGCCTTGAATTAACAGATCAAGCTTGTGTGCACTGTACTCATTCCCAGATGGACAACTGGAGATTAAGAGAGCCCAGAAGCTGGCCAGAGGCGAATTTCTGTGTTTACCTTCAGAAAAATACAATTGACAGTTATAGAGAGGATGCAGGAAGAAAAATAAGATCGTTCAGGTCACTGACACTCTGCACTGGACTTACCTCTGAATTCAACTTTGGAACATTTATGTCATTTATTATGCATGAATCATAACACTTGGACAATATACTAATCCAGATATTTTGGAGTATCTAACATTCTGCTGTCCATGATGATGCAAACATTCCTAGCACAGCATGTACCTGTGACTAACAATATGTACACATACAAAAATATAAGGAGGAAACTGCCTCTTCCTTTTTTTTTTCTTTCTTATACCTTTAGCTCACAAGCAGAAAAGAAGCAAGCAAAATCCACATAATCACCACTTAGCATTGAAATAGTTACAAATCCCCATTTTCCTTACACGATTTAAGAAGTTTATATCATGATTCGCTTCCAAGAGTTTTTTCACTATTGGCAGATTATTACTGATGACTGCTAAGTGGAGAGGGGAATTCTTCTGCTGTGGAGGGAAAACAAGAAGTTGTTATACTCAGTGCATTCATTAAAGGTTCACTCAAAGAAGAAAGACGTTCCTGTTAGAGTCTATCCCTTGCCAAGGGGGTGCAGGGGTGATGAGATCCAGGAGTACAGGCAGCACACCTTGGGGTATCAGGGATCACAGCCTTCACAGCAGAGAGCACCATGCTTACAGCAAGGCACCCCTTTGTACGTCCGTGCCAGGGTGTGCCACTGCCCCTGCTCTGTTCCTTCAGAGATGGAATAATTCTGATTTGAGCAAGCAGCAGTCAGAATCTACTTTCCAGAAATAAACTTTTGTACTACAGTGCTGCTATTTAGTTATTCTTCATAATAACCTGACTTGCTGTAACATTTGAAGGAAGTAAATTACAGCTAGAAAGAAATTAAGTTCTTGTATTTGAGTGATTATTCGTGCAAATAACTGGGGCACTGTTCCAACACCAGTCACAATTCAACCATTAGATTGGCAAGATCACTCTTCTTGTTGAGCCTGTGACTCAACAGTTTCTCATTAAATACAGCTAAAAAGTAATTCCACGCCAGTGCCAGAGGCCAGCTTATTAGCATCTTTATAAACCACAACCATTTCTTTAGGGCTAGAGAGAAATAAATAAAGCCCTCACATAGAGCTGCACTGGAAATATTTCCAAAACCCAGGTTACAGTTCTATGAGTTGTTTCAGCTACAAAAAAAAGCCAACAAAACAACCAGCACAAACACAGACTGATATTTACAACAAATCATTACAACTGCATGATACAACATGCAAGCAATCGTGGCTGATATGTCACAAAGACCAGGTCCTGTTCTTATCCAGCACTGCAGAAGTAGAAAGTAACTTCTTCACAGAAAATCTTAGATGTCAGAATCTGTAATATCTGAAGAGCATCAAGATTTTAGTATCTTTTTAATCCTAAGAGAGATTTTGACAGCAGACGCTTCAAGCACAGAGTCTGAAAACAATGAAGTATATATTGACCTTTATTCAAAATCACATAAACTGTAAACTCTCTGTCCCACGTAGGGAGCACCCATATGAGAGATGAGGTGGCACATAGAGATGCCTGCATTACCACAGCTCAGCCCAAGCAGAGTACTTTGCTCATCTTCCCACACTGCTCAGTCCTCGGTACATCCCAACTACCTCTGCACTGCACTGTGCTGCTCTGCCTGCACACGTGCTGGGTGCGTGCAATGGAAGCTGCCTTGATTAGCCCATACCTGTGGGTAACCAGCGTCCACAAACCATACTATCAGTAACATGTGCAGTAAAAATAACAAAGGAACTACTCAGCCCTCAGCCTCATTTGGTGTATGAATCCTCAAGGAAAGACTGGGGATGCTGAACATCAGCATCAAACATGTTGTCATACACTCACCTCAGGTTTAGGGACCAGGTCAATGTTCTTATCAATAAGAAAAGTGACCAAGGATTGATGTCCATTCTGAATGGCAGCTTGCAATGCATTGCTGTTGTTCTGAAAGAAACAACAAAAATTTACATTTCTGTTGCTGGGAAAAAGAAAAAAATCCTACAGACAGCTGTCAATCCAGAAAAGTCTTTCACTCACATTTGTGTTACTATATACCTCTTTCCTCTCAAAATAAAACACTTCCATTTCATGAAGTGATGGAAGATTATGAAGAGGTCCATCAGCAACCTATTTTAATGAATAGTGAAGGAACTTCCCATTGTTAGTGCAATGCAACAAACACACTGAAAAAAAAGCAGTACTCCATGATCCCTTTTTCTTCAGTTGATGAACAGATAATTCAGCATTGTCAGCTTTGCTGAGGCACAGACTACAACATATCTCCCAGTCTGTTTGTTCAGTCTGTCCTTTAATAAGCAGCTACAGTCACATTAACACATTTAAAATCGTTATTTAATTTAAAAAAAAAAAAAAGAAAGAAAGAAAATGTTCCCTTAATTCTGCTATAACAAACAAGCTCTCACTCTGGTGGAATCACAAGCATCCCTGCATACTCTTGCAGAAGGCAAGATGAAGACATTTAACACATCTGAGTCCAGGAAACAGATGTGGGGAACAGATTTGTCATCAGTTCATGAATATAAGCTGCCAAAAATGAGGCTTTTCAGTTATCCAGCTTGGTTAGATTTCCTAGCCACATGTTTTACTATCGGGTTGACAATAAATAAAAAAGCCTTAAAATATAATTCTATCAAACATGTCTGTGCCTCGTCTTCTAAACAAGTTCTGTTCAATTAACATAACCCCCATTCCCAACTTGATTATAGTTTTTACCATTTCCTAAAAAATAATCAAAGCAAAGAGACTGTCAATACACACAGAAGAGAGAAGATAAAGCCCTTCCCGCAGCTCAGGCTGTGCCAGCAGTAGCGTGATGAAGGGATTCTGCATACGTACGTGAGTTAAAACATTGATGTTGCTCCCTGCTTCCAGTAGGAGTTCGGCACATTTTTCATTGCCTCTTTCAACAGACAAGTAAAACGGAGTTTCTCCATTCTAGATCAACCGAGAAAAAAATGTCTATCCCAAATTATGCCATGTGATTATAAAGATTATAAAGTTACGACACTAAACAGATTATCTTGATCAGTCTTCCAGCTCAACAGAAAAGGGAAGATGGCCAGAAGAGAATAGAATCTGAGTGCGCCAAAACTAATACCTCAATAAAATGGTAACACATGAACAACTAAGTGATGGGTGACAATTAAGTCTGTATATGTAGGCAAATTGTACAGTTCAAATAACTGCTTATTTCCAGAGAACATTACAGCCTACAGGCGCAGAAACAAAGATGCTGGGAAGCAATTGCTGCCACTCAACACCAGTCAACACCACTATCATGTTGACGTATACCATAAGTGCCAGTTTATGTCAATCTAATGCCATGATTTCCTACCAATTCTCAAGTCAAGCTTTAGCTACAAGGAGCATTTTTAATAAAAATATTTCTGCTACATGTTTATTTCACACCTCTATCTGTGGAGAAGTCTTTTAGTGCTCCACAGCTAGTCCCTAAAAAAAGAATATACCTGTGTAAATGATCTGCACAGGGATCTGATCCCCATTTCTGAACTTCTACAACACATGAAGGTTTATTGAAAACCACCCTAGTGCTTCAGAATTCACAGAGGCATTACCAACTCCTGATTCTTTTCCTGCCTGAACTCCTGCCACCATCATTTTGGCAGACATGAATGTATCTTAATATATAGCTTATGGTGGGATGAGAGAGACTTGGTTATGCAAGAAAGGAAGATCTCCAGATGGAGTGGCAAGGCATTCGCTCCATTAGCTATGGCCAAGCAGCACAAGCTTTGTGTGCAGAAGAAACACCTTTATTAGGCAAATCTTGGAACCATAGAAGCTTCACATTTCAAAAGCATTTCTGTGCCTCAGCCCTGCATAGATGGGGAAAAAAAAGAAAAAAGAAAGAAAAAAAAAAGCTAGCTGGATAAAATAGAGCTATTGTGCCCACAAGCCTTTAGCCCTTTGCTGAGGAGTCGGTATCTTTTACTCCTGGACTATTTCCTTCTACTAGTAAACAGGGCACACACACACACACACACACACACAAAAAAAAAAAAAAAAGAGAGAGCAAGAAACTCATTGTATGAGGAACAGAGGACAGGAGATGTTAGTAGAGCTGAATCTAATGGAGTAGAGACAGTGAAACAGGATTCAACCACACTGGGGAAGGAGCAGAACTCATGAAGTCCATTCAGTGGAAAAATCATACATTTAAAACATTAATTTTAATTGTTTTTTTCAAATCTCTAACTTTAACTCATTCAGTAATTTATGTCCTCACCTGATTGAGGTCATTTATCTCATCCCAGTGTTTGAGCAGAATCTCTACAGCTTCACTGTGGCCATTTTTAGCTGCCAGATGTAGGGCTGTGTTTCCCTCCTTGAAATTAAAACGTCAAAGGAGATATTTTAAAATGCGGAATAAACTGAAAGTTTTAAGAACTGAAACTGTTTTAAGAACAGCACGCACTTAAACACAGAGCCATTTGTCCCGCTTCTCTATTACTTATAAGTGGGAGGTGGAAGACCCATAGCATGTTTCAAGAGCCAGGCTGCTAATCTGAAGGGAGTCTTTCATCTTGCATGCAGTTGTGACCTTTCTGGTCTAGATGGTTGCTCATGCTCTGAAAACTAGTGTATTACCAGCAAAAAAAAAAAAAAAAAAGAAGAAGAAGAAGAAGAAAGAGAGAGAAAGAAAGAAAAAAAGTCACCTAAACTTCTAACTCTTAAAGACTGAATCAGAAGAAAACTTTGGGCTCTGGTTCCTACAAGGATGGGGATCACACCATGTTTTTACCCTTGCAATGTCACAAAGGCAGAGAAATGCTAACATGCTCATTCAACAAATAACGGTGTAAGGAGTGAGGATGTTTAGAGGTAGATTTTGAAAGTTAGCCAAGTCACCTTAAATTGTAGTGTCAAAAGCAAATACAGTCAGATTCAGGCATTTCTGAATCATTAGAGCTTATTTATCTACTGAAATATTCCAAGACTTTTAATGTTAGTCATGTGGGATTCTGCATTGGCGCAGCTGAGCAGAGCAGCAAGAACTGGAGAAGATAATCTGCCATTGCAGAGAGTGGCACCTCCAGCCCAGACTGCCTCCCTTCTTCCATCAGCCTTTCTTGCAGGAATTACTGATGCATATGAACAAGATACCCAGCAACAAGGCCAGAAGTTCCAATTTCCTTCCTTATTTACTGAAAAACTGTCAACCTGTAGTGTGGTTGTTGGTCCAATATATGTCACCATCAGCACCACGGCACATCTTGTTCACATCACTTAGTTGTGTAGTTAACTATATCAAAACAAATATCCCACAAGCAAATAAAGAAACCATTACCTTATCTTTTTCAGTTGAGAACAGATTTAGAGCTATCAGATTATTTATCATGTCAGCATGGCCTCTTTCTGCTGCCAGAAGAAATGGCTTTCTGCCTTTCTAGAAAACAGTTTGGAAAGGAATACATTGTTACGGAAAAGAAAAATAGCCTCCTTCCAGTTACCAGATATATGGCATATATGTATGCATTTTGCTCTCCGTGAACACTTACATATGACAGAAAAGTAGGTATATACAAGAAATATTTCTATATCACAGGTACATGCATGAAAAGTTAAGAGTTTTTTTAAAAAGCAAAAATTATGTAGTGTAAAAAAAAAAAAATACAACTTTCATATTCTGAAGAAAATATTTGAAAACTGATTGGAAGTGGTAGCAAATGAGGTATAAAGTGTGCTCAGAATATTCTGAATTACTTTGAATTTTGTTAAAATTAACAAAAACTTTTCCAGCTGTTTACAGCTCAACTGTGGAAAGTTACCCTGACATAAAATAATGCCACTGGTCAGATGGTGAGACCAATCGCAAACGCTCCACAAGAATGGCCTCTATTAAATATCTAAGCAAATGAAATTTCCATGAAAATGCTGGACGCTTCTGGAATAGCCTCAATATAGAAAAGAATTCTAAGATTCTAAAACGCAGAGGTTTGTTTTGCTAAACAAACTCTTGTTAATGTCAGCCTTGTCATGTGTAGACAGAGTTCAGAGCTTTGTACAATCTGGTCAATAAAACTCAAGGCTCAGTAAAGAGGAGGGGGGAGCTTTGGTCCTTTGGTGGCAGATCCCAGGAGAATATTTTTTCCTTACATGGGGATAAGATATCCTACTTAGCTAAGTAAGTCCTCAAAGTGAGATTCCAGGATAACGGGAAAGAAAAGCACAAGCATAGGAAACCATGATGAGGACAAGGCCTGCTGAAGAGTTGGTGCAGCTCTGTAGAAGGCTGTACGTGGTCTCATGCTCTCCATTGGTGAAAGATGCCCACGTCTGCCATACCTGGCAGGTTTAGGGGGCACAGTGTGGGAGGGTGGCAGGGATGAGCTGTGTGGGAGGAGTTCAGTGACAACCTCATGCTGATCACAACAGCTTCCAGAAAGCTCTTCAGGGCAAAACCATGTGCTAGTACTGAACCCATCAGAGGAGCTCATGGTACCTCTGCAAGGTACAAAAGCAATAGCAGACACTGCTACAGGCAAAGTGCATAGGGAGATACCAGAGAAAACAGGAGAGGACAAAGCAGACATGAGAGGCCACGAGGGAGAAGTGCGTGAGGTGCCAAGCAACCCATGGAGGAGCCTCTGACAAGAAAAGAGGAAAAGAGAAGAAAACAGAATTAGCAATAAAGAAGAATTCTGTAGACCCACTCCAACCTGTCTCCCACTGGCTCACTAACGGGCCTGAAGGTCACATGCAGGGAAAGAAAAGGAGCAGGGGAGGAGAGGTGTCTGGAGTTCAGCTGAGACTGGCAAACAAGGAGGAAAGGTGGCAAACAAGGAGGAAAGGTGGCAAACAAGGAGGAAAGGTGGCAAACAAGGAGGAAAGGTGCTTTCTCTATGTGCTTGTCTGGCCGTTTGTCTTATTTATTTCTCAGTACCCAAACTAGTAATGAAAACTTTCATATAAGTTGCAATAAATTTAAATTCATTGAAAAGTCAGAGTTGAGATTGCTTTGCCCACAACAGTTTCCTCATGACATTAAAGAAAACAGAAAAGCGCATACTGTACCCCATCAGGCTTGTTCAAGTCAGTCAGATGAAGATCTTGGAGAAAATAATCAATTATTTTAACACTGTTGTTCTGTGCTGCAAAGTGCAGTGCATTCATTTCTTCCTGAAAAACCACAAGCATCTCTGTAAGTGCAGGTTTGATCATTACCCACCATCAAGATAATTAGAGTTGGTAAAAACCTGTCATCAACACACCTCATTCTTAGCTCTTTGATCAGCACCAGCTTTAATTAATTTCCTCATTATATCTAGATTTCCAGTCCAAGCTGCAAGATGGATCACTGTCAGCCCATGCTTTTAAAAAATAAATAAAGAAAAAGAAATTAAAAAGGCAGAAATTACCAAACAAAATCCCTTCTGTCAAATTTATTTTAATCTTTTTGATTAATATAGTGTATGAGTTGGTTTTGCTCCACAGGCTCTAGAAGATCAGCACTATCACCTGACAGTGTGATTGGAATTCACCTCACTTAAATTACACTAAAAGTTCGGGCTGTCTCTCTCCTTGGCAGAAGATCTGGCATCTCCTGGGAAGGATTAATCCTGTTGTGAAATGAAGTAATTCCTGAAAAGTTTCTCTCCAAAAACTGACTAATGACCTGAAGTAGTTAGCTCTGGTGCAGTAGATGACATTTCAGGCAATAATACATAAGAAGAGCATTTCCGTGAGTCACTGTGATTTTCCAGTTAGTTCTTCTTTCAAATTACTTTTAAGAATTCTTCTCTTTCAGAAGAACAGCCAACCAAACAAGCAAACAACTCTTCCTGTCATTAATGACTTAGAGCCAAAAGAAAAAGAGCAAAGCATCTTTCAGCCAGTGAATCATTTTTGTCTCCCATCTTGGTCATAGTTCTACTCTTCAGTGTTTCCACTTCTCTCTCTGTTTCCGTGTATTCTGCATCCAGGTGCAGGATCATAAATCATAGCTCGTTCTGTCACATGCTGAGTGTAAGCACAAAACTCAGAAGACATTCAAAATCTAGCTTAGAAGCACCTGAATCCTTAGATGGAGTCAGAGGAACCTGAAGGCGGCAAAAAGGAGCAAGGCAATTCTTTCACAGCTGTAATCTTTTCCCAGTTTCTCGCCCGTAAATGAGGAATCAGTAGGTTGACTTTTATCTGTAATCCAAGCCTTATCCATAGGTGTCTTTCAAGAGGTCTACCAAGATCCTGTAGAACGTCAGAGGCATCATGCCTACACTTAATCTACTATGTAAAAACAACAGAAATACATTAACTTATCTAAGATTATTATAGAAAAAAAATGCTGCTGTCATGAATCTTGCTTTGGCACTTGTGTATTTAATTGGAATTGAATCTGGCCAGGGATGTCAAGGGCAACAAAAAGGTTTTCCAGAAGTAACTCAGTGACAAAAGGAAGACTAGGGAAATGGCAGTTTTGCTGAGACAGAGAACAGTGAAAAGGCTGAGGTACTGAATGCCTTCTTTGCTTCAGCCTGCACTAGCAAGACTGGCCTTCAGAAATTCCAAGTCAGAGTAGCTGGATAGCAGAACGTGTACTGCTGGTGGAAGAGAATACTGGTAAAACCACTACTGCATGTTTTTTATCAGCTTACTTTCTGTATTATGTTAAGAATGTTTACAATCCTGCATTAGTATAAAAAGAAGTCAGAAACTAAAATGGAGTAAGAACTAAAGTCACAGTATGTTCGCTCTAATTCTCCCACTGCAATATCAAATCGGTTGCCAAAGAGTTCATGAATCACTGTCAGATAAAATACATACTGTCTTAATTGGCTTCAGTGCAGCCTATGAGACAGTAAGAGACCTATAATTACACTGTGAAGCATCTTACTGCCTCAGCAAACATAGGAGAGAGTCACTGAAAAACAGTTTTCCGCAGAGAAGCAGTGCCTTCGTTCTGTATGTGAGTATTCACTGGCTGGGCAGCACAAGGCCATGAAGCCGAGCTACTGGAACAGAGACGGACAGTAGGAGGCTTTCCTGCTCAGCAGAACAAACGCCAAAACAGATGCTGGCACAGTCTCTCACATCTTGTTTCTCATATCTTGTTTCCATTCCAACACAGAGTAACAAGGAAACTTTCTCCCTTCTGCCCACTCTTCCAGCCTGGAATTTTTCTTTCTCACAGTGTAAACACTGCAGCATGTGCAGGGTAAGGAGAGAGAGGCAAGCAGGAAAAAAAAAGAAGGTGAATGACTCATCTGATTTCATTACTCAGGATGAAATATAAGGACAGGTAAGTAAATAACTGAACAAATAAGTTCTCTGGAAACAAATTACAGTTCACTGGAAAGCTTCTAGCTTGCACAGTCTGATTATTAAGAACATACCATACATTTGATTTTAACATCTGAATCAAATTCTGCACTATGAGTCCCCATTGGGCCCAAGGAAAAGCTGAACCATATATTACTCAGCTCTTCAAGTCCTGGAGGGTGCAGAGTAGCTGACAGTTCTGCATGAAGCTGCTCACTCACAGAAGAATGGAGGAAGGGACTGCAAGCAGTCATTCTCTGGAATCCCACTGATACCCAGATCTAATTTTTATTTTCAGAGTTTGTTTTGATATACAGTTGGCTATTAAATTAATCTTATGCAAGTGTGATTGAATATGAAGCTGCCACAGACACAGGAGAACTTACCTGATCTGCCATATCAACTCTAGCTTTGTGATGGAGCAGAAAATCCACTGCAGACGTGTGACTTCCTGCAACAGCAAAATGCAGTGCAGTGCGCTTCATCTGCAATAAGCAAAGCTTTGGCTATCAGATCCATAACAGTGTTCTTTTTATTGCAAATATCGGGATTTCTGAATTATTTGATTATAAATAATTATAGTGGTTAGCATAAATACACATTTGCATAGCTCCCCCTGCAGCGTGATCTACATTGGTCTTGGTATTTTTGTTCCTTTGGGGATCATTTACACATTGATGATAAAAATTTCACAGAGAACCAGAATGGTTTATTTACCAAAGTTACTGTATTTGGCAACACAACCCCTTCTCTGAAATGCACTGTCAGACGGGCTAAGTAATCACACGCTGCCTGGAGGAAATATATGCAATGCCTGAAACATCTTTATTACACAATTCAATATGAAGATTTGAGGTCTGGATTCACACAATTATCTCCACGTTTCATATTTTCCTTGCTTTATTCTGTATGCCTGCAACACATGACAGGATTCCTCCCCCTCTCGGTATTGAGTCACCTTCACAGAATGAGACATTACTTATGCAAATAAAGTCTCCCACCTTGCAAACAGTGAGTAATTTTTAATAGATGAATCACTGCAAGGCTTATCAGAAACAATTTTTCATTACAGTAACTGACAGTGTGAACTTAAAAGGGATTGGTTAAAATGAATTAAACCTCAGTGGAAAGAATTTCCCTTTAATTACAGTGACCATAATTGGGTTTAACGTAATTCACTTAGAGTTTCCATATGTGACTTAACCAATTAATTTTAAAAGTCAGTTTGGATTTGTTCTATGCAGATCAGCTGTTTCATGTACAGCTCTTCACCCACAGCTACACAAGTTAAAGACAAACAGGTGGGATTTGTGCCAGGAAAAGCTTCTTACACAGAAATAGTTTTATCAGCAGAACTTGGCTTTTAGCAGACTTGCTTATTTGGCTTGGAAGTACAGGGAGTGGAAAAAAATCAACAGAAATATAAGAACTGCTTTGCCAGCATAAACTAAGTCCCTAGTAGGAGCATCAGTCAATGCACAACAGCCAAGCAACTCTGCTAGTAAATCTCATACTATAGACTTAAGAACGAAAGTGAAGATTCAGAGTACTGGACTGGAACAGTATTTAGTTCAATTTCCTGAATTCTAGAAAGCAAAAAGGAGTAGCTGGGTTCTGCTTATGTATTTATAGAAGTATGTAATGGACAGGAACGTTGTCATTCTTCTGAAGAAGCTTACCCCAAAGAAATCTTTGTCTCCGTCTCTTTCACAAAGAAAACTAGGAATACAGCTCTATATTCTTCTCAATTCCCCAGTGGGGAAAAATGCTTGTGAGCGTGGGCAAGCAGGGTTTTTGCTTCCATGAGTTAGTAAAGTGAGGACATTCATGGGCAGAGGACTTGTAGACAGCTACAGAGAGCTTCCAGTTCTCCGCAACTCCCAGATAAATATTGAGATAAATATCACTGCTGTTCAATTACCTCTGATGCATAACACTTTATTTTTATCACTGTGAACTTCATGTCCTTAGATTCTGTCAGTGTAAGAAATATATTTTTGTCTATTTACGGCAAATTTGAATTCTGATCTCAACCTGCAAGCAGAAGCTGTGGTAGAACGCTTCTGTGGTTCACTGAGCAATAATGCTTCACGCCACCATTTGAAGTCTGTGGTGCTGACAGCACAAATTCGTTCTCAGAGTGACTGTGGGGTTATGTCTTCATACTCTGGAAGATGGAGAACTCAAGGAATTAATTACACAGGACGGCAGTCCATATTAGAGCAGTGACTGCTATTCAGAAGTCCTTAAATTAAAAGACTTGAGAGTTTTGCTGTGTGAAACTCTTCAGCCCGTAGTGGACATGTGGAACACTGCTCAACCACAACCAAGAAGGGGACTTGTTCACCAGCACCCTGGGCTTCCACCATGCACCCCACAGGCATCACATTACTGACATACTGTACTCACAGTATCCACAGCGTTTATATTAAGATTCTTCTTAAACAGCTTTTCCATGGTTTCCAAATTGTTCATTTTAGCTGCGTGTTGAAATTCTCTCTCATCTGGCAATACTGTGAAAGGCATGGCACATGCAAAAAAATATATATATGTATTATAAAAAGAATAGCCATACCAAATTCAAGGGATAGATATTATTCTTATCTTCTGGTACTTGTCCTGATTTCACAAATTCTGTGAATCACTTTTTTTCTCATCACACAAACATTTCAGGACTGCACTTTTTCCTTCTAGAGATACCTGGCTGACGTTTCTCAACTTTTAAGTGCGGACAGAAGTGGGCTTTTCACATCACAGGCTATTATTATTTACTCTGCTCACAGGAACATGAGGTTCATTTGTGAAGTTCCTTTCATCTAAATGGGTCTCAAGGCCTTTTGTAAGCCCAACAGTGAACAGTATGAGCTGCAGCACTTAGGTACTGTTCTTGGAAAAATCACTATTTTACAACAAAGCATACCACCAAAATACATAAAAATGTATAGCAATGACAAAATGACATGCCTCAACTGGGAACAAGTGGTTTAGAGGAAAAAAAAAAAAAAAAAAAAAAAGGAGAGAGTGAAAAAGAAGATTGAACTTGAACTCAAAACCTTATCACAGTGAGGAATTTACTATTAAGCCAGGACCTGGCTTTAATGCCTTAATGAAAAAAATGAACATCTATTTGGTTGACTAAAGTAGATGCAGCATACATTTGGACCACTGTAACAAAACATTTAATTTTTAGTTGGAAAATAAAATTCCAGAGCCTGACAACCAGTTAAGCTAACTGAGAGGTCAGAGTATTTCTCCACCAGCACATTTCTGCCTTAATTCATGCTTGGGAGAAATGAGGGTATCAAATGCAATAAGATATTCTTAATTTAGTAGCATATCACACTCAAGAAGTTAATCATTTGGATATCTAGAATATTTTGGCCTGAAAGCTGGAAGGCCACTTGTCTAATGATACCAACAAAGAAAGCAGCATTCTCTGATGAACTAGAAATTGCAGCAGCGATTAGTTCCTTGGGGTCTCTCATCTAAATTTATTAACATCTAATGAGATATAGCTCGTGGCTGTATGACTGGAGAAAACCACAGAAAATTGGTGTGACATTCACTTAATTGAATCCTATACATTATCAACGATTATAATCTCAGTGGAATAAGCACAGCGATATTGTTCAAACAACTAGAAATTAAACTGGATGGTTCCAAAACTCTTTCCAGCTTTCCTATGATCTGACATTATGCAAGTACCTCACACAGCAGAAGCATCCTCCCAGACTCTCTTGTAATCACAGGACAGATTTTCTTTTACAAAATGAGAAAGCAGTCACAGAAATGCACCACTGGACTAGAATAGTTAAATAGTAATGTTTCTATAGACCTTAGCTTAGATTTCAAAGAAATAGCCAACTTTCATATTGAATAACAGCATTTTATTACAAAATTTTGCCCAGCCAGGGCAAAGGTCCCTTTGCTCCAACATTCTGTCTCTAACAGTGGCTAACAGAACAGACCCAAAGGGAATAGATGAGAATAAATGCCTCACTCATAGTTTTTATACTGTACATCCAGAAAGAATTATTTCCATTGTTTTGACTCCAACCACGATAAACCAATGGTTGCAGGATATCTTGTTCAAAGCAAGCATGGAAACAAGACTTTGGGCACCAGATAGATGCAATTAGTTTGGCCGCATTCATTCCCATTGGCTGCTGGTGAACACTTCAATGAAGATGTAAAACATGTAGATGCAAAGATGAGCACTGTTGCATTCCAGCGCATTCAGGAAAAATCCTAGCAGTTTACTGCCTTCAGGAAACAAGAAAAAGCAGTGCTTTGTTACTGCATTGGTGCAGTAAGAAGAGTTTTGTTTTAGAAAAGATCAATTAGCGATCTCTCCTCTTCTGTTTGGAAGTCATGAACTGGATGCACGTTTTTAAAATGAGACTTTTTGTTTGCTCAGGACATGGTGTTTCTTAACAGCCCCTCTCAATACATCCTAATTTGGGATTTAGGAATAGCAGCAGTTTAAGTGCACTACTGTGCTCACTTTATGCACAGTCTTCTACTGTTTGTGCAAAATGATTTATTTTCATGCATGAAATTACAAGAGCAGAGAGCTCTCAGACCATAGATTTATGGAAGATTTCTTCTTAAGCTGCAGCATCCAGAATTTGGCAGTCCTTGCATTATTACCCTCACTTGATTTTCAAGCACTAGCAGCCATCTGCCACCCTTTTGCAGCCTTCAATCTTTTCTGAGGGGTCATTTCCTTGGCTTCTCCCAAGCGGTTTGACTGAATGCCCTGTGGTTTTCATGAAAATAGTTACACTTTATTTTCACTTTTATTTTTGAGCTAACTAAAAATACTAATTTTGTCAGCTGACTTCCTTCATAGGGACAGAATACATATTAGAATTTAGTCTAACTGTAATGCAATTGCAGTTTAATGTGCTGAATATCCCAGTCTGTCCCCTCTTTTAGAAGGACTAGTAAGTAAAAAGATGCAGAAAATGTGAACTGCCTTATTGACCAGAAAACAGGAAGTCCCCCTTAAGAAAGTCAAATTTTGAAACACTTTCAATTTTAATTTCTTCACATTCAAGTCTTATTTTACTGTAAGGGGCTTTGATCCATTTACGAGTAGTAGAACAACAAAGGATATCAACTGAAGTCAGAAAGTGAACCAGTGGTATCAGTGCTCTTAGAAAGATTTAGTCTAAACACTAAATCTTTCCATGTTTTCCCCTACTTTGAAATTTCTTTTGTAATATCCACAATATGAATCTGTCAGTATCCTGAAAAGAACACGGAAAAAATAGAAATCTGAATTGGCTGAGAAATTTTACAGGAAATACAAAAATATCAACAAATACATTTGAAGTATTTTCATTCTACCGTTCCTAAAAAATAATTATACTTACTGGCATGGCAACATTTTCTCTTTCCATAACCTACTTACATTTTATTGTTTGTTATCATAAACAAAATGACTAGCATAGAGGTTTTGTAAAGTCACAAGAATGTTTTGAAAAAACAACTTCTTTTTCAATTTCAAAGAAGTCATGAGAAGACTGCCTACTGCATCCTACAGCGATATTTCATTCATTGCTTATCCTTACCTACCCTTTTTGCAAGACTGGCAAAAGCATGGCCCAGAACATATTTCAGTGATTATCACATTGAAATCACAGGACACGGTCACAGTACGGCTTAATAATTACTGTTCAGTTTCCACAAATAACCTGTTTTCACTATCTGCAGCCCACGCCATAGCAGACTGATCTGTAAGAGACCAGTTTGCAGTCTTAAGTCTGCCATTAGAGTGAGTCACACCACTGCTTGCAATGAGACCAGAACTTCCTGCAAGTGCTGCGTGCCCCCCTCCAGCACAGAAGCGTGACTTGGTTGTGAAACTTTCCATGTGCCTGAGCTCAAGCATGTGGCTAACCCCAGTGAACCCATTCAGACAACTGCAGGGGCGCACTTAAAGCAGAGTGCCAGGCAGGCCAGCCTCTTGGAAGACAGATGCATCAAACCCCAAATCTTGCTCTCACATCTACAGCTCCAAATTTCCCTACAGGATACACTGGGCTGCTGAGTGAAAGCTAGACCTAGCATTACTCCCCACACACTCACAGCTGTTGTGGTTGGCTGCTGAATCTCCATGCATTGTGTCCTCCCTGACACGAAACAGGTGGCTCAATCCCTTCATTGTGGCTGTCAGCTCCTTTTCTCCCCACCTGCAGGAAGGGGCCCCATGCAGCCGTGCAGAGGGAGGTGCCCTTGTTTTGCCTGGGGTGTGTTTCCTTGCTGCACAGAAAAACCGGTTCCCAGGGATTGAAGTTGACTTAAACACACCCAGCCAGGCCATGGGCTCCACCACTGCCCGCAGCAGCGCACCGTCACTCAGCCCCATCAGCCAAGCCTTCTGCAGGCTGAAGGCCACTTGGGGAGAAGTTGCTCTTGGAATTATTCCGTTTTAGATCATCACCGGTAAGGAGAGTGCCCTGCAAGCACGGCATGCTCTTGGGATGTAAGAGACAGAAATGGCCTAATTTGGACAGAAACAGGAGCATGTGGTACAGAAACAGAGGCCATTGGAATTAATCCAGTCACAAGACTTTGGGTTTGTTTTCAGAGAACATTTTTACATGTTTTTTGTCCAAGTCCAGTCAAAACCAATACATCAATATGGCAGTTTTAGTGGATCACCATATTGAGATCTGTCAAATTAGGAAACTCTCATTAATCTTGATTTCCAGATCCACAGTTACTTTTGTTTACTTGCACCAGCACAGCACAGATTATTTCATTTCATGCAGTCACTGCCTGTGATAGGGCATAAAAATTGCTGCCTTTTAAAGCGATTGGGTCAAATTTTGCTTTAAAAGCAGTAGCTGGCATTCCTAACATTATTTTAAAATTAATAAAGTAGCTCAAAGAATGCAGAGTTATCACTAGTCAGACTTACACAATTGAAGACATTGAGTTCTTTCACTCTGATTTTTTCTTTGTAACTTGAACAATCCGTGATTATTAACACTGTATGTGTTGATGGCAAATTTGATCTGAAAGACTCGAACTATTTTGTCCATTAAACACTCCCAGTTTCTTCCTGTGAGTCAAACATTCCAGTGAAACTTCTTAAGAGGAAGAGGTTTATTTCTGTGCAGTGACTGGGTAGGTAATACAGCCTCACAGCTTGCAACATTAATCCTCTTTTTTCCAAAATGAGGCAACAAACAATTTTATAATTACTAGATTCAGCACATACAACTGGTCACAAAGGAAGAAACGCAAGTTATAGCAGAAGTGTTTAAACTATTAGGATCATGATTTTAGATAAGAGCCTGTAAACGGCTGTTAGTTCCACGCACTAATTACGATCAGACAATCTCATTTCACAGCGTATCCCTCAGCTCTCTTAACTAACTTTCCCAGTACAGCTATACGTTATGCACCCAAACTCTGCAGATAGTAAGTTCACCACATTCTCTAACCACTTCCTACCATACTGACTTTCAAATGGCCCCAGCAACCTGCAGAAAAGGCTGATGCAGAATCTGAAAACACAGAATCCATTAAAAAGTGCAGAGCAAGGAACTACTGGAACATTTCTTTTACTTGCCCACACAGACTCCTCTGCCCCGTGAGCTGAGAACAGTACAAACTCAGAGCATCTTTTTGTTTAAAAAAAAATACAAAAAGCCAAGCAACAGTAGTTTTTAATTAAAATAAAATAATTTTATAGTTAGATACATAAACAAATGGAACCATTATGAAGAAAAAAGGTAAGACAAGCACATGTTGAATAGTGCATAAAGAACAAGCAAAAAATTTCACTCTGTAAATGCTAAGACTTTAAAAGCTAGAAACAAAAAAGCAACTACTGTGTTCTTATTAAGTTGCATATTACACTCTGTTTTTGGAATCTACAGTTTTCAAGTTACCTGGTGCATGAACTGTTAGCCTATGCAACTTCAGCACCCTACAGTTCCACTCTCTCATTCCCTCATTTCCTATTGTTACAGCTACTGGCTGCAGATTGCCTCTGGTTTGGATTACTAATAAGGACAACTAAATGGAGATGCTCAAACTGAGCAGGTGCTCACATACAAAAATGGAAATAAGAAAATGTATGGCAGAGATCCCCAGAAAAACAGTTGGAAAAAAAAAACTTCAGCATCTGCAGGCTGTTCCCTAGGCTCCCTTGCAGGCAGTGTTGTTCCTAATGGTTTCAACAATTCAGTCTCTTCACTGGATCTGCATACTGCAATGTAAGAGAGACAGAGACATGATAAACCCTGTAATAACTCTCAGCATGGATCAAGCTGCCGTCAGAGCAATTCAAACCCAAACTCCATGCTGCTGATGTTCCTGTCTACAGAATTACAACATGGAAATTCAGCAACTTCGAAAACAAAATGGCATGAACAAAAGTACTTATGTATTCCCAGTAGAACATTTCTAAAAATAAGGACTGAGATATCCAGGCCAGACAACTAATAAAAAAATAGGTCATCCAATCATTGTAAGACATTCTGCATATAAGGTATTCCAAATCGAAAGTACGTAAAGATATTACAACAGCAGTAAAGAGATTAAATAAGAGAATGCTGCTCTACAATCTATGTTTCTAAGGATTGAAGCTTTACAAGATAAACTCAAGCAAAGTCTTGTTTTTAAGAGGGATATCTCTGTAATTGTTCCACTGAGGGCAAGCATATTTCTCAGAGATAAATATTTTGTGCATCCCTTTCTTCAGAAGTAGTGAAAAATGTTAAGATCACAGGAATGCCATCTTTTTCTCTCTTATCCATAAGTAGAAGAGGAATTCAAGATTATTTCACACAGAATGGCTTGGGTTGAAATTGACCTTAAAGACTATCCAGTTCTAATCCCCCTGCTATGGGGAGCGATTCCACCCATCAGATCAGGCTGCCCAGGGCCTCATCCAGTCTGGCCTTGAATTCCTCCAGAGATGGGGCACCTACAACTCCTCTAGGCAGCCTCACCTCTGGGTGCCAATGCCTCACCATCCTCCAAGTAAAGAGATTCCTCTTAACATCTAACCCTCTCCCTGCTAACACCCATCTTTTGATGCAACCCAAGATACTGTTGGCCTTCTGAGCTGAAAGTGCACACTGCTGAGTCGTGTCCAAGTTCTTCTCTGCAGAGCTGCTGTCAGTGAGTTCTTGTACCACACTGTATACATCTAACCTTAAATAAGTGAGAAAATTCTCATCTGCATCCATTCCTAGATCATCCACGTGCTTCAAGACTGTAAATACAGAAAGTATGGAATGGTTTACACAGGAAATAACTTACATATTAAGTTAAGATCAGGCAAGTTATGAAGACTTTCCAGATGCAAGTGAAAACAGAGTTCAGTAATTACAGTTATTACCAGTGGACAGCATAGTAACAGTCAGAGAAATATGCTAAACAAAAACTATGCTAGCACAGCTTTCACCACAAGAACTGAGAAGAAATTGTTGCATCACAAGTTTCCGACAATACTTAACCCTGAACAGAAGGACTTCTTTAGATAAGAACAGTAACAGAAGTGGTATAAGAAATCATCTGAGAGATGATTTAGAAGGACCAGGCACTTTCCATATACATACAGAATAACCTTTCCAGATGGATATATTTTACACGTATTTCAAAAGACAGACACTTCTGGGTTTAGAATCATATAATGAGCTTTATTTCCACATTAAATCTAACATACTCCACAATTTTAACTTCATGATACTTAAAGACAAATCTATGAAAGCTTTTTTAAAACAGGTGATAGTTTTCTGGGCTAAGCCAAACTAGCTTCATTTGTCCAAGCACTCACAGGAATTTCCTTTTTTTGCTAAGTAAAGGACATGCAAAATAACAAACTTTAAATAAACACACACATTGAGACATTATCTTGGATTCTACACTTTATTAAATTAGACATATGTAAATCAATAAAGGGACAGGTGCTCATTTTTTTTTTAAACAGTAGTCACTGCTCCTTCAGCTGTTTTAATGTCTCTCCTACCAGAAATTTCCATCTCCCACCTCTGTCAGCAGAACAGCTAATGCTGACTGCTCAATGACTTTGTTTGGACAAAGTCAACTGTCAGACTGCAGAATAGTATGAACTAGCCTAGCTTATTTTGTCCAGAGCAGATTAAGAAGCACTGAATTCAAATAACAGATCTGCAGGTACAGTGGCATCTGGCAAACACAGATGAGCAGGTAGGAGATACTGAAATCATTACAGAAAATCTGGAAGTGAAAAAATACATTCTGGATTTAGCCTAAGCATATAAAACATAGAAAATACACATTTATTTTTAAAAAAAGTAAGCCACAGAATAATTCCCATATAGTTAAGCAATGGAACTGAAGCTTCTATCATAGTCACTTTAAAGATCATTCACTTTTAAAAGTTCATATTTCATCAAGGGTTTGTGACTGTATGTATAACTTCTAAGAAAGAAGCTATCATCGTAAATTAATTATAAAAAGTCTAAATCTAAGCAATTTGGTGTAAAGAAGAATATCATTATAGAGTATTTCAAATATTTGAACTTTAAAACTTCCTCCGTCCACTCATAAAATACAATTTATTTAAAAATAGAAAACAATTTTAAATGAAGATAGATAAATAGTAAGAATACTTCATTTCAGCATATTGCACATATTTATACAACATTCATATTATTATTGCACATTGATTTATATTAAATTTAATCCTACCAACAGGTACTAATTTAACAACAGCAAAGACAATTGAAGTTCTCAGACTCTTTGGAAAGGCCAAGGATCAAACAGCATTTGTTCAACTAATCTGGAAGAATCCTCTCATCATCCAGTTTATTAACATTTTTAGTATCAAGCAAAGTCATCCTGCATCTCATCACAGAGAGCCCTTCACAGTGGGTCCGTCACCTCATACTGAAGTAATTTTCAGTGATAACAATAAAAGTTTGGCTGTGCTCTGAATTCTTCTTTTTTGAAGACCAACCAGTTTTTGGTCCAATGACAGGACAGATCTTCACAAGAACTGAAATGAAGTAGCTTGGCTCTTCTGTGTTATCATACAAATTAATTTGGTGTTTGATTGTCCAAGGAAGTATTAACTTGAGCAACTATGGTTGCCAACTCACTGCCTTGCAGACAGGGTGCAGGTCAAATCTTCGAAAGGGGACATCAGCAAGCACAGTGTGACATTCTACATCATGAGACCCTCTTTCTCAGGTGCTTGCCATGCAGAT